AGGAAAAAAATAACATTTATATTTTGATCAATTTAGAACATTACAGTTAAAAAAATATGTGTTAGAATAACATATTTTTAATAAAATTGCAGCTTTTAATTTTTATACTTTTTTGCTTTTATATCAATAAGAACTAACGTAAGGAACAATTCATATTTATACTATGAAAACACATGCATATTTTTTGATGTTTTTAAAACCAGTGAATGATGTTGAAATATACTACACCTATTATTCTTATTAACTAACTTTAATTACAAACTTACACATTATTGTCATTGGAAATAAATTAATTTGGATATTCTATTTGTTTAGAAACTTTTTTACCTATTGTAGTTTTTTTAAAACCTACTTGATTTAAAACAAAAAAATGTCACCTGTTGTGACAAAATAAGGTCTTTTTTACTAGAAAACAATCTAGTGAGCTTTTCTAATAATACTTTATTGATATACCATATGATCGAAAAAACGGCGTCAGCGATGGCTATGAAATGAAGATCGCTGTCATTTTAAATGTAAATTTATATGGGAAATGTCATCGATTGCCATTTCCCAGCCAACTGGACGCCGTTTTTTTTTGATCATACGGTATAATATGTATTCCCATCTGTTAATCTTTTTATTTTAAGGAAGATTTAGGAAGGGTAGCTTAAAACATGTTTGTCAATCAATTATCTTTATATGTCGTTTGTAAAAATATTTTACAGTAGTAGAAAATAAAACTGTTTTTAAGGCGAACAGCTTCTTTGCTAAAATATTTTTTTGGTCCCAATACATAATGATTTACATTTTATTTTTAACTTCAAATAATGAATTTAATGGAAAAATTGCAAGTCATAAAAACGTTCTAAATATACAAATCTAACCATTTTTTCCATACCGTTGCTCCAGTTTTTTGTCAAATTAACGAATATTAGAAATAGTTTATTTCAACCTCTTCAGCTTATTTTAAAAATGTTGACAAATAACAAAGAATACACCCCTTAAAGTTTCGCATTTGTCTTGATATACTCTGTATAAGACAACAGTAAATAACTTGTAATATAACTTCGAAATATAAATTTGAAATTAAAATAATGATTTGTTATAGTGATTTACGTTTTATTAATTTTGATTTTTTTTTCTTAAATTTAATTTAAAAGTGATTTACGTTATTTATTAATTGAAACGTTTAAAATTTGAATATACGTTCAAATTTTTTTTTTACAATAAATTTGTTTATGATAAATAATTTTATAATAAAAATATGACCGAATTTCCTGGAAAGTTTGCCAAATTTGTACATATGAAAACCTAGCTTTACCACTTATCACAGAAAATCTCTATTCCTTCCCTTATCACAGAATAATACAGGAACGAACCATATGCGACAAGGATAGAATATTTAGATATGTCGTTACTGTTTTTTGTTTTTAATGGATATTTTAAAAGCCGGGTAATATATGGTAATCTGTGATGGTAATATACTATATACCTTTGACTGTCTTTGATTACAACTGTGTGATTAGTGATAATTATTATTAAAATATCTGGTAATAAGTGTCAATTTTACAATTGTGAGATTTCTCGGAAATCAGGTGTACATGTGTTTAAGTTTCATGCGTCAAGAGATCCTAATTTATGTACAAAGTGGATAGAAAATTGTGAGTTCATTCATATAGAATTTTTTTGCACATTTTGTATGTAAAAATACGGCGTTAAGTTACCTTAGAAATGGTGATCGATGGCTTTTACCATATACCGTATGATCGAAAAAAAAACGGCGTCAGCGATGGCTATGAAATGAAGATCGCTGTCATTTGATATGTAAAATTATATGGGGAATGTCATCGATCGTCATTTCCAAACCAATCGGACGCCGTTTTTTTTTCGATCGTAGGGTATAATTTAACACATTAAGAGTTGTCCATCGTTATATTTCTATATCTATGCAAAGTTTACGATGGATAAATCAAGTAATATTAAGTGGATACAAATTATAAATGAATCAGTGAATATAAACTGTTATAAATTATAAGTAGGTAATGCAGTTAGTGAATATACCGTACGATAGAAAAAAAAGGCATGGGAGTGGGCTTGGAAATGAAGATCGCTGTCGTTTAATAGGTATGTAAAATTATATGATAAATCTTATCGATTGTCACTTCCAAATCAACATGACATGCATCTGTACATCATTAATCTCACGACTAGAGTTTCCTGAAATCCCGAACTCCCAGGATCCCGGCGGCGTGTATGTTTATCTCCGAAATCCCGATATTAAATTCCGGGATCCCGAAAATCCCATAAAATTTAAATGTCCAATCTAAAATGATTCGACTTTATACACCTTTCAAAGATCAACAAAACAAAGTAAAATTCATATTTAGTAAGTAAAAAAATGCAGTTTCAGACAATAGTTTGGTTTGGTCGAGTTTTGTTAACACTGTCTAGTCTGGGCTTTTTTATTTGATATATGTTAATCAAATAAAAAAGCCCAGACTAGATAAAATCAGGAGCTAACTAATAGAATCATATCAGTTCTCTCTGATGTAGGATAAGTTTCTATTTTCGGAAAATTTCTTAGATTTTTTTTTGTTTCAACTGACGAACTGACCCAAAATGATAACTAGTTGCTAAAGTTGAACTAATTTGACAACTATGTTGAAGTAACGTCAGACATATCACAGCCACCCTAGATTTTATCAAATAATAAAGATCTATTCACACTAAATCATAGAAATGAAAATATCTAGGAAAATCTTTGTTTGAGGGGTAGGCCGGCAACCTTAATAGTATTTGGAAGTGACATGAATTTCCCATTGAATATCGGAATAATATTCTGGGTGATTCAATTAAACTAAAGGATTTATACAGGGTGGGTATTAAAGGAGTTATACAGGTTATACCAATGTTCAACATTAATTTTGCCCCACCCTGTATAACTTTATGGGTCAGGTTTTAATTTGATTTAAAGTGCAATAGAGTAAATTCCAATTTAGGTAGTTTTTCTTGAAATTTAAAAATTGTTCTTCAAAATCTTAAGTAAGTCTAAAACCTTACATTTCAGTCATATACTTCCCTAATAAAACACACCTTTATTTTTCTCTTAGAATCTAAAAATTAGTTAATAAAGGGGGTATTCCGTTACAAAAAAAACACAAATTTGATGTGTAACTTTTTTTGGGGACACCCTGTAGAACTCTCTATATTTTTAAAACGTGCGCAGAATTAACTTACATATGCTCACAAAATTTCATTTCAATACGAACTGGTCGTTCTCCTTGGAGCCTCCGAGTCGTATGAGAGGCGCCACCCTGTATAATTTTTATATAGTTGCACTTGAAATAAGGGATGAAAATTTGTACAAACATTTGTTAAAATCGGGTTTAGAAGTATGAAATTCTGTTTGTTCCTTATGTAACGTAATTTAGCAATAACAAGCAATTTTTTTTTCAGAACGTCCACACCTCATTTCACCCCGTTAGAGGGCGAATTTCCAAAAATTGTTCCTGAGTGCTAAATTACGTTACATAAGGAACGTCTGCGCAAAATTTCATACTTCCAAAACCGATTTTAATGAATTTTTGTACAAATTTTCATCCCTTAATTCTTATGGGGCGAATGCCTAAAATTCGCTTCTGAGTACTCACTTTCATCACTTGAGGAACCTCTGTGCAAATTTTCATACTTCTAGGACAGATTTTTTTCAGAAAGTTCACCCCTCATTTCACCCCCTTAGAGGGAAAATTTCGAAAAATTGCTTCTTAGTGCTAAATTACCTTATATAAGGAACGTCTGCGAACAATTTTATACTTCTAAAACCGATTTTAACAAATTTTTGTACATATTTTCATCCCTTATTTCTTAAGGGATGAATGCCCAAAATTCGCTTCTGAGTATAACTTTCATCACTTGATGAACCTCTGTGCAAATTTTCATACTTCTAGGACAGATTTTTTTCAGAACGTTCACCCTTCATTTCACCCCCTTAGAGGGAAAATTTCCTAAAATTGCCTCTTAGTGCTAAATTAAGTTACATAAGGAACGTCTACGCAGAATTTCATACTTCTAAAACCGATTTTAACAAATTTTTATACCAATTTTCATCCCTTATTTCTTAGGGGATGAATGTCCAAAATTTGCTTCTGAGTACTCACTTTCGTCACTTAATTAACAATTTCCAAATTTCAAACTCCTCGGACTAATTTTAAAAAAGTATGCAAAATTTCACCCCCAGTTTCACCCCTTAGTAGAAGAATTTCCTAAAATCGCTTTGTATAATCGAACTGTTAAGTTACGCTACTTAAGGCACCTCTGTGCAAAATTTCGTAGTCCTAGGACATGCTTTTTTTTGTATACAAAAGTACCCCCCATATCACCCCCTTAACGAGCGAATTTCCAAAAATTGCCCCTTAGTGTTCAATTACGTCAGTCAAGGAGCACTCGTGAAAAATTTCATACTCTTAAACCAGATTTTAACAAATTTTTATGCAGCTTTTCATCCCTAATTTCACCCCCTTAGCGGTCGAATTTTCAAAAAATCCCTTCTTAGTGCTCATTTACATCACTTAAGGAACCTATGTGCCAAATTTTATTTATTACTATATAGATAACCTTTACCCTTATTTTCAGCTAATGAATATTAAGAGACAAATAATAAAAATAAAATCTAAATTATAAATTTCATGGCTATAAATAGCATACATATGCATCTAGAAATTCTGACTTTCAAACATACACTGCGACTAGTATTTTCATATGCAATTGTCTAGTATTAAAGTCCGAATATACATTTTCCCTGGGTTTGACCGGGAATTTGCTTATAAATGTGAACAACCGGCTACGTCGCTTCACATCGCGTGGCCGTGGTGTGGCTCCAAATTCGTTCGTTTTAAAAATATTATTAGATTTGGCTATAGGCGCCCTCTGTGTCATTAATCGGGAACTGTCTCATCGAAAACATGCTGTTCCGTAAGCAATGGCCATCTGGATTATGTGTTATCTGTGCTTTAATTTAATTAGACATTTTCATACCTGAATGGAATAATACCCTTTACGGTTATATAAGATTCGGGATCTTCTTCAGGTTTATCGATTTTTATATGAGTTCTATCGATGATACCTATAATTCCTGGGAAGCCGTTTTTTTCATTGAAAAAGTGCTCTATTTCCAGTTTTTCTTCGGCATTTGGCCAAGTTATAACTTCGGCAGAAAGGTTGCTCAAAAAATATGTCATCCTTTTGATAACTCTAAATAAAGCACTAATAGTTATGCAAAATCTATCTGCTACATCGCGATAACTTGATGTCTGGTGGCCTGCATACCACAAAAAAATATATGTGTGCTGCAATGGAGTTAATTTTCCATAAGGCCCTGTTTGTGATGCATAGTATTCACTTGTTAAAAATCTTATTAGATTTGCTACGGCGGGGCTTACTCTGAAATGTTCAATAAATTCACCTCTATTGAACTGGGGAATTATGTTTTCAAAAAAATTTTGATTTTTGGGCCTTATCCTTTCTTCCACAAGATCTTCTATGTCTGAATCAGAATCCATGTCAGATAACGTTGAAGGATCTGTATCGGCATCATCAGATGATTCAAAGTCACTCATTGTTTTAAATTAAATATTTAATATTATGCTATTTTGATTTTGCAGAGGTTATTTTTAGATTGTTATTTTCAACCTCAAATGTTTTGAACTAAATAAAAAATGGTATAAATAATGAGTGCGCATGATCCGGACATATTACTGGTAAAAGATCCGCAAACTGTATTGACAGTTTGCAATCTATCCACAAATCCTGTAGGAACACAGTACCGCAAGTTTTGAATCAATCAGAAATCTTTGTAGGAACGCTTCCGAGTCTATTGCGCCGAATCCGGATTGTCAAGGACTGTCTATGATGCTTGTGGGAACAAACCTATTGTCGCTTTTGTTCGCAAGGCTGCTGTTGTTTTGTTTACTTATTTCTTGCAAGTTAAAATAGTTTTGTTTTGTTGTTTTGACTAAAGTAGTCATTATGTCATACATGCCATATTTTGTTATTGGGTCATTCTCAGCAAGCGTTATGTTTTTTATTTTATTAAAGTATTAGAAAAATTAAACATTCTAACTGAACTTATTAATTATTACTTGTAAATAGTAATATTATTCGTTACATATACGAATAAATGAATGATCCTGAAGAAGACAGTTGCATTTGTTATGTTTGTTTCTATTTTTCTCAATTTCTCTTATTCAAAATGCAAAAAATTGAGAGTTTATTTTATCTGTGGTTTTATGCAGGGGATTTCAACTAACTAATTTTAAAACGCAAATTATTAATAGATAAGATGCACTACTGAGATGGCGTGTTGTTTGTATATGTGTTGAACTAGTTTTGTTTAGTAGTCATTGTCTACTTAAGTTTTGGTATGTATTGCAGAAATATTAAAAAAAATGATGATAAAAATATTAATTATAATTAGTTAATGTAGATATCAGAATATGAATGGCACGTGTTAGAAATGAATGTGTGGAAAGCATGGACGCTTTGCACTGTGAGTAATGTGTGAGTGCTGTTAGTAATGTAATAATTTAGTAATATTTAGGTGTTGAAAATATGGACGCTTTGCACTGTTGTAGTATTTGAGTGTTGAAAGCATGGTGATGTGATAGATGTGAGAACTTTTGAAACGCACCCGGTAGCTTATTCCTACGTAAAGTTTAACATAAGGTAAGGTTGGAACACATTACCTAGTAGGGTACCATTTTTTCCTTCCAAAATATTCAATGCAAAATCTGAATGGACGCCACTGGTTGAGATAAATAAAATTGTTTGTACATTAAAAAAGACATTTTGATGCATAGAAGATGTGTATCTTCTTCTTCTGAAGGGTGCCGACTTTTTGCGAAGGTTGGCGACCATCATGACTAATTTTATTTTGTTGACTCCTGTCCTGAACAGGTCGTTTGATGTACAGTTAAACCATTCTCTGAGATTTCGAAGCCACGACATCCGTCTTCTTCCTATGCTTCTCTTCCCTATTATTTTACCCTGGATAATTAGTTGTAGAAGCTTGTATCTTGTATCTCTTATTACGTGGCCCATATATTGGAGTTTTCTGATTTTCACCTCTTGGGACAATTCTAGATCTTTTGTAAAAGACTCTTCGTAAGACTTCTTCATTGGTAATTCTGTCAACGTATGATATCCGGAGTACCCTTCTGTAAAGCCACATCTCGAAGGCATCTATCTTTTTAAGCATTTGTTTTGTTAGAGTGGCAGCTTCTATACCATAGAGCATTATTGTAAAGATGTAGCATTCGTATTTTAAGGTGGTTACTTAAAGTTTTGCAAAAAAAGAATTGCTTCATTTTAATAAAGGTGTTACGTGCTATTTCAATTCTGATGGGTAATCTCATTAGATGTGTATCAAGTATTATAAAAATATCAATGCTAACTAGCACTATTACAGTTGAGGGTTGGAACCTTTGGTTTTACACAGCAAAATAAAACACTAAATCACCACAATACACCAAAACATTTTTACTTTTACACTGGACGCGCGTTTCGCTAACCATGTTAGCATCATCAGCAGATGATTATAAACTAAAATACAATCTACAACTGGAGCGTTTATATACTCGCTCAGTGGGCACAGAGTGGGCGTGGCAAGATCTATCCAACCGAGTCAGAACCCACCGAGCGTAACAGTTAGATTTCCGCCACTAGAGTAGTAGGAACAAAGAACTTGAAGGAATTGGACCGTTGTCTCTGTTCATACTATCTTTACATTTATTAATTCTGATGCTTTCATATGCATCTAATTGCCTGTAATTTGAGACTTGTTTAAGTAATTTTAAGTTATTAAGATCTATACAATGTTCTTTATCAACAATATGTTCGGCAACGCAAGATTTATCAGGTCTACCATATCTTATCTGAACTAAGTGTTCTTTAAATCTAGTTAATATTGATCTTCTCTAGTTTGCCCAACATATTTCTGATTACAATCTTTACAAGAAATTTCTAAAATACCCGACCTTTCCAGTAGAGGTGTTTTATTCTTTGGATTACCTAATAATTGTTGTAATTTATTATTAGCACTATACACAAGTTTATAATTGACATTCTTAAAAATTCCTTTTAGACCACGGGATAACTGTCTATCAAACGGTATTGAAAAATATTTTGACGTATCTTTCTCCACTTGAAAAGTCGAATTTTCAGAAATCATTAACCTATACCTACGTTTTCTAATTATTTTATCAACTAGTGAAGGAGAATATCCATTACACTCAGCTACATTCCTAATGTAATCTCTTTCTATTTCATATCTTTCGTTGGAAAGTGGAAAACTAAGTAATCTATGAACTAAGAAATTTAAACTAGCCATTTTATGTTCAATACTATGATATGATTCATTAGGAATATATCTGCGTGTAGTGGCATTTTTCCTATAGATATCAAATTCCAGGCAATTATTAGTATTTCTAATAACTAATACATCTAGAAATGGTAATCTGTCGTTGTTCTCAATTTCATGTTTAAATTTAATGGAGTAAAACGATTATTTAACTTAGAAATAAAATTATCTATGGTGTCTGAATGTGTGTCAAAAACAGCAAAAATATCATCCACATACCTAAACCATACTCTTGGAAAATACTCAAACCTCGACTCAAACTGATTCTTAGCCTCCACTTGAAACCTGCTCATGAACAAATTAGCTAAAAGACAGATGGATTACCCATTGCTGTACAACCAAACCAAACCTTCCCGCTGTTCAAAAAAGTTGTTATTAAATTGAAAACAATTTTGTTTCATACATATTGATGTAAACTCAATATATTCAATCACAGTTTTGTTGTCGAGACCATTTGCATTCAGTAATTCCTTCAAGTAGCCGAAAGTACATTTTTTGTTTCTTCGATATCCTGCAAATTTTGTGGAATACATTCAAAATACACACTTTTATACAAATGCCTGATAATGTTAACTCTTAAATTTATTTAAGAAGAGAAAAAATGTTGAACCTAACCAACAATTCGCATTTTTAGTGGTTTACAGTAATTATCTTAAATTATACGAATATTCTCGTTGATTTATGGTTTGAAATATACAGGGTGTCCGGAAATTAATGCAACAAAATTTGGTCATAAATTCTTGAAAAAAAAAATATGTGACCCGTATTTTTTATTTTTGGCGAGTGGCCCCCCTTTTTGGATTTACTGCCCCCTGAATTTCGCCCCTAAAAGAGTTCTTTTTTAATATCTCAGGGCCCTGTTGGACGAAAATCACTAAATTTGGTACACGTTGTTTTACCATAAAATTACATTTTTTGATGCTATTAACTTTTTTTTTATTTTGGCGGTTTTATCAGTGGCGGTATTTAAACTAAATATTATTAAAGAAAAAAATGGTACGCCACTGTTTTTTTTTTAATTAAAAATTATTTTTAAAATCTACATTAAATTTGGAACAACTATATTTCTTCAACATTCAAATACTTCTATAGGGTCACGTATACTTAAATATTTCGGTCACGTTATGAGGAGGGATACTGACTATATGGAAAAACTCATTATACAGGGCAAGGTTCCGGAAAGAAGACCAAGATGCTCGCCCTCCCGATGGATAGACCAACTATCAAAGATCACCCACAAGCCACTGCACACGCTTGTACATGAAGCACAAGACAGGGAATTATGGAGACAAACCTCACACATCACCTAACCACGATATTTCTTGACTTTTTTTCGTACGACGCACCGTTTTCGTTTAAAAAAATAAAAACCGTTTTCATATATGACTAAATCGCTAAAATTTTACCGTAAATTTCAATGGCAAAATTTTTAAAACGGCAAACTTATTTTTCAAATAATTTTTTATTTTCCATAATCTTGTTTTTATTACCTAAATGCGAACCAAAATGTCAAAAAACCTAAATTACCGTTTTTTAAATTTTGCTATGAAAATTTACATTAAAATTTTAGCGATTTGGTCATGTATGAAAATGGTTTTTATTTTTTTACACGAAAACGGTGCGTCGTACGAAAAAAAAAAATCAAGAGATCAAATTTGTTTCGAATTTAATGTAGATTTTAAAAAAACAGTGTCGTACCATTTTTTTCTTAAATAATATTTAGTTTATATACCGTAGGGACGCCACTGATGAAAATAAAAAAAGTTAATAGTATCAAAAAATGTTATGGTAAAACAACGTGAACCAAATTTAGTGATTCGTCCAACAGGGCCCTGAGATATTAAAAAAAAACTCTTTTTAGTGGCAAAATTCAGGAGGCTGTAAATCCGAAAAGGGGGGCCGCTCGCCAAAAATAAAAACTTCGGGTCACCTATTTTTTTTTCAAGAGTCTATGATCAAATTTTGTTGCATTAATTTCCGGACGATGTCCTTCAAATGAAAATGCGTGTTGCTTAACTCTAATAATTCTAATTTTGAGCTAGCAAATGAGCTAAATGCTTTACCTAGATCGTTATTCAGAAGTTACAAACCTATCGATGAAAATATGCATGAAAATTTACTTCCTAGCACACAACCAGAGGATATTGGTACCCAGGTACAGTATCAACCAAACCAAAAACAATATGGATATTATATATATATAACTTGGTAATATTTGAGGGGTAGTTTCATCTCGTTGGAATTACCAAACGTAATTGATTAACCACGATTCTGCTTGACGTAAAAAGCTTATTTTTGGCAAACGGATTTTTTGGAACACCCTGTATGATTTGAAGAATTTTGGGTTTTCGGGTTATTAGACCGTCGTCGGTTAAAATTGCTTACTAACATTTCACTAGCACGAGTGGCTAGCATCTTCAGAGGTGTGTTTGCTCCGACTGCTCACACTAGACTGATGCCAGAGATAACTACGAGATGCCCAAGTCAATGTGTATAACTGGTTCTCTAATAACTATATATTTTATAAAAATCCAATGACGGACCCGTTGAATCTGGAGAGCTGGCTATATATATATATATATATATATATATATATATATATATATATATATATATATATATATATATATATATATATATATATTATAATTACCAAATAAAAGACTAATATCAGAATTAAATTATTTATTAAGAGATAAAAAAATAATATTCAAATATGTTACAATAAAATGATAATTTTAAATAAACATAATAATAAATAAATGGTACAAGGAAATAAAACAAACATTTGAGATACAAATGTTGCAGTAAAAAAACAGTAAAAAATGGAATATCCGCCTTTTTTCATATGAAAAAACCATGACATCAGGGAAAAAGCTTTACGTGCCATATGCTTAACGCACGTTAGGGTCCACGTGGAAACACAAACATTCAGCACGGCGAAACAACGTGGCCGCATCCGAAACTCCTTCCAAAGAAAACTTTTCAATACATTGACAAATTTTTATCCTGTGTCCATCCTTGAAAAAAAAAGTATTATTAGATGTGAATGAATTAGGGTTTCCATACATCCGGATTTGGCATGTTTTAGTTTTTATGGTGTCTGGGGTATTATGCGATTAAACTGTTTCACAAAATTATTTAGTTTTTATGATCAGATTTACCGTACTTTCTTTCAATTTCCGATTGGATTACCCTTAAAATCGATCGGACACCTTAAAAATTAAAAAGAACATTCTTTCTAAGGTTTCCATGTTTAGGTTTTTAAGGTGTTTATTAGGTGCATACCTAATTATAGTAAAATAAAATATATTCCTTAAAGTCTTAAAAAAATTGAAAATTAAAAGGGTTACAAAATATGTATTTCTTCTTTATGTATGTATATGCTAGAAGAGCTAGAAGAATGTCAGACTGTACTAATAAAAATTACACATAATTAATTGCAGTATGCCATATATGAATTCTCGTATAAGACCATATGAGGAATACATTTTTTTATTTGAAAGTGGAAGACAAAGACATATTATGAAATAAAATATCTTCTTTAATTAATATTATATTTAATGTTGAAATTTTGTACAAAAAATCAACATTAAATAAAGACAATGAAACTTGAAACTAATAGATGTTTTATTTCAGCATATTAATTTGTTGTTTATTGAAATTACTGGGATATATTACCCCATGTCATTTTCCTTAGGAGTGCATATTCCTTTTCAATACTATCCTACAATTGCTTCTTGGTCATGTTGCTCTAAAAACTGAAGAGTGTATATTTGTTTGATGACATATGTTTATGTTAACCCTGATGGTGCTGCAATTTGTTTTAGAACATAGTTCACCTAGAAAATATAATACTGGTTATGTCATTTTTTTATGTAATTGTGATATGTTTTGATCTGTAATGTGTTCTGTAATGTGAGCTGTTTTCATGACAAATTAAAAATTTATTCCTGTTGGTTTAATATATAAACAAACATAAACATTGAAAATTTGAAATTTTTAGTTTGATAGTTGTTAATGTTGACTAAATATCATATTAAAAGAAAATAACCATCTATTAAGAATACCGATATTTTATATGCTACACCAAGGATATTTTTATACTTAAATACTTCTATTAGTACTTCTTGAAAAAATATTATAATCTACGTCCTACATCCAATCTAAGTCCAATGAAAAATATCGAATTTTGGATTGTAGCATTATTTCAGAGAATCATAGTGCGTTGGAACAGATGGTTGTATGAACATCAGCATTTTCTACAATACTAAATATAATAGATTTATTTGGTATTTTAGTATTTGAGATTAATTCTATAAAATTTATTGTTCGTTCTTATAAATGTTGGTTTAATTAATTCACGGTTATTCAGCTCATTAGACACGGAGTAATGTACTGTAGCCAAACGATTAGATTTTTACAAATTGTAAGTTTTGGATTTGTTGTAGGACTATTTATAATTATTTGCAACAAGTACTACAGTGTCCCAAATAAATAAAAATATCAAACACTAGTTAAGTAGATGTAAAAGAGGACTAATTAATATGATCTCAGTATTCGAACTACATACATTAATTGACTATTTGCGTTGATTAATAATTGCTCCAGTACTAAAAAAAACTGAATTTTGTATGTGTATTAGACAATGTGGTAAAAGTAACACCTAAATTTTATGTCATTTTTTGATAAATGCTTATTTATAATAACAGAGACGTTCATATTCATAACTTTTTAATATATTGATTTCTGATTCAAATCTACATTTATTTATAATAATTTATTAACTAACACAATTAAATGTGATTAATTAATATTTGGGCGGAAATAATGGTGGTATATTTAATTAATGGTACACTCTTTTGCAAAGATTTAAATAGTTATCTCTTTGTAAACAAATGGGCTAGCAATATTATCGTTTTTAGCATCGGTACAGTCTAAAATGTCAATATTATAAGAAAATGCATTTTCTATGAGAATTTGAAGATATAGGTAAAACGTTATATAATACAATTAAATTGTGCATCTGATTCACGTAAAATATACAGGGTGTTCCATTTAAATTAAACAAGTTATTGCCGTTTAAAGCTAGTAATTATTTAAAATAAATTTTAATATAAAATAAAATTTTTAGACACTCTGTATAAGATAGTATTATTTTTATTATTGCAACACAAAATTTAGAAAACAGAAAAACTTCAGTACAATATTTGGTTTTAAAAACTTAAATACCCCTAGAGAAATAAAGCATTAAAATTGTTACTGCATTTTTAGGTGAGATAAACCTTAATCAAAGTTATCTTTATTTTAATTGGAGAAACTAAAAATTTCATAATATAGAGAGTGTTCCATTTAAAAAAATACAACATTGGTATTTTTTATTTATTCGGAACAATCTGTATCTTACAAAAGTACGTTTAAATTGTAGCTCTAATAGTCCTTAAACAAACCCAAATCTTTTATAATTTGGAAAAATTCAAAATCTTTGGCTACAATACTCCGTGTCGAATGAGGTGAATAACCCTGTATAGCAAGATTACACCTTCGATGGTATTAATCTGAAAGCGCTGTTAGTTCCTTACCTAATTTTTGAGTTAATATTATATTATCCTTTAAATTTATCCCACTATCTACTAGCACTTTTATTTTTCTGTTGGGTATAGACTCATAAGGTAAATAAGTATATAGATATTCTTGTGTGAATTTTCACTATCTTGAAATCACTAAAACAAAGGTAAATTAATAAATGAATTTTTTCCAATATGTGAAAACCAATATTGGAAGACAAAAAAAAATAGTTTACCAGATAGTCCGTTCTTTATGTTTTACCCTCTCTGATTGTATATTATCCTCTCTGATAGTCTTATCAGAAGTTGCAGTGAGGCTCCTTTACCCTATATTTCAGATTTTGTGACTGACATTTCCTACAAATATAGGGAATATAGGATGTAAATTATTTTATATTACGCTTTGGGATTACCTATGAATGTCGGCAGTTTTTCTACATGATACACAATGATGGTGCTTCAATTATGAAAGAACATGAAGATGATATACCACTTCTTAACCATAAGAAAAGCATGTTTTCCACAAGACAAGTGACGGATTCATCTGTCATACAGCTCTTCACCTCGTTTCCCTTTAGTAGTTTTGTTCTGTTTCTATAAAAATATCAGTTCATTCCACTTTAACTGTACCTACAAATTTTACATATTGCTTATCACCTCTATCTGCAACACGATCTTTTTATAAATACTTATAACTAAGAGATTATAAATACATGTGTAAAAGTTAATATAAACAATTACCTATTAAATTAAATATAAAATATAAAAAAATATATGTTCGAATATAACAAATTTATTTTCTAACTATTTTAAAATTGATTAGACCCGATTACTTAAAATTATTTACCAAAGTAGTAATAGGAAATATTTTATTTAAACTAGGATGTTATAAATAAAACAAAATAGTTTATATAAAGAAATAATAGAATATAAGCTTCTTTACTTACAACCATTTTTATGTTTTCTTTTTGAAAGTGAATTTTCTACACTGGTTAGTTCTTTTATAACTTGAACCACTTTTATTTTATTTTAACAGTGAATATTATTGTCAAGAAAAATGGCCTATCCGCCAGAAATTAAAAATGTATTACTGGTTGCCTGCACAACCGCAACGTATCCGCCAGAAATTAAAAGACTTTTTCAGACGCCATCTTTTAGTCAAGTCGAGAAGTAAGGGAATCAGACAATAGAATTGTCTGGTATGAAGAAGTACGCTTTCCGAGAATTGGGGAAATTTCGAGAAGCAGTCAATAGAGTATATAAGCCGGAGCCATCGACAACTGAGACAGTTTTTGAAATTTGAATATACCGCGTGGAAATTGAAAATCGGACAATTTGGTGAAGGAATCTTATAAATAGTTAGTTTGTTGTGTGTTATAAGTTAGTAATTGTGTATAAAGTGAGAAAATAAATTCGTTAAGTATTTTATCGTGAGTTTAAATTAGTGGACCCACGGAATCCGTAACAATTGGTGTCGGAAGTGCGATTCAAGAGGATTTTAAGCAGAAATTAAGTGGATTGGAAGATTTTTAGACCGAATTAGAGTATTTTTTTATGGTTGGTACAAGGGAACAAGCGAAGAAAATGGAGGAAGTAAGCAAATTATTGGGTGATTTTATGGAGAATATGAGAAGAGAGAAGGCAGAAGAACAAGAAAGACTCCGTAAAGAACGAGAAGAAGAGCGAGCCGACTAGAAAGAGAGAAGGCAGAAGAACAAGAAAGACTCCGTAAAGAACGAGGAAGAAGAGCGAGCCCGACTAGAAAAGAAAGCAAAAGATAAAGAAGAGGAAAATTACAACGACAAAAGAAAAACAAGAAGAACAGGACCGGCTTGAGAAGATTTTCGGAGATTTGAAATTCCAACAACAACAAAGATAAACAGGAAGAACAGGACCGGCTTGAAAAAATTTTTCCAAGATTTGAAAATTCAACGACAACAAGACAAAGAAGAAGAACAGGACCGGCTTGAGAAAATTTTAGGCAATTTAGAAATTCGTCAGAAGAATGAATGGAGGGAAATTTTAGAAGATATAGAAAACGCGCCGCCAGAAAGAAAGACAAGAAGATCAGGACCGTCTTAAGAAAACTTTAGAAAATCAAGAAATTCGACTTCAGAAAAGCTTGGGGGAACAGCAACAAGCAATGTTGGAAGTACGTTGCCAGGAACAGCAGAACCACTTCCAAGAAGCCGTAGAAGATCTGGAGGAGCGCCTTCAGCAGAAGATAGAAAGGTTGGAGATGGACCTACAGAAGACCAAGGTACAAGTAAGGACACCTGGCGTTCCGGGAACTGCGAACCTTAAGGCCCCCGACCTACGATGGACAAACGACATGGACGATGCCACCGCCAGTTTGAAGCAGCGGCTGCTGCCAATGGATGGACTGACCAGGAGAAAGCAGCGGCACTCGTCATCGCGCTGCGTGGCCCTGCCCTGGAATTGCTACAAACTATTCCTGCAGCCCAACAGCAGGAGTACGAAACCTTGGTTACTGCATTGGACCGAAGATATGGCGACCAACATCGACGTCAACTTTACCAGGCCCAGATCAAGACACGCATGCAGAGGTCCGGAGAGAGTCTGCAGGAATTTGAAGCAGACTTACGTCGGTTGGTACACCTGGCATATCCAGAAGCACCGGAAGGGTTTAGGGAGGAACTCGCCGCCCAGTGTTTTATCAGCGGATTGAGGGACAACGAATTACAGAGGGCGCTACAAATATCACGATTTTCTACCAGCAGCGAAGCACTGGTCAGGGCGCTGGAAATAGAAGCTGCTTTTAGCGCCATCCCTAGACCGAAAATAAGATCAGTAACAGTCGAGGAACAGCCCGAGAGTACCCACAGAAGTTTCGAGGAGATGTGCAGAAAATTCGACAAACTATGTGAGCTACTAATAAACAAGGGAGTTAACAATAACCAGACAGAGAACCAGAGAAGATCCCAGGACATAAGGTGCTATAGATGTGGCAGGAATGGCCACATCAAACGGGATTGCCGCGTTCATGCGATCCCGTTCAGCATCCAGAGAACGTAGGCACCAGGAAAACTAAAATCAGTCAATACTAAGGGGCGAGTATTGACTGGGGAGAACAGAGCCCCCAGGATTTTTTCCATTAGGAGTCTAGGAACAACCGCTGACAGCTTGGTGATCGACGGGAAAGTCAATGGAAAGGGAATTCGAATGACTGTGGATACTGGCGCTATGGTATCGTTGGTGCGGGCTAACTCAGTGCAAGGATTGAAGCTGATGTCTCTGGGAAGAAGAGTGTGTTTACGTACAGTTACGGGGGAAATGGCCGTTGCACGGGGAAAGGCTATCGTCGAACTGAAGTTAGGAAATTTGAAGTTTCAGCATAGCGTCTTAGTGGCAGATATTGAAGATGACTTCATCTTGGGCATGGATATGATTCGTCAACATGGATTTTCGTTCGATCACCAGAGAAATATCTTAAATATTGGATATGAAGAGTTCATGTTATCTCCAGACGAGGGACCAGGCAGAATGGATGTAAGATCAGCGGAAACTGTGGTGATACCTGGTAATACCGAGAAGATCGTATTCGGTAAAGTGGAGAAAATCGCTGGGTGCTGTGTTGGACTGGTAAAAAGTGGCGACAAGAAACAAGATAGGTACTTAGTAGGAAAGTCATTGGTGAACACCGACAAGAATATACCGATCAGAATTGCGAATGTTTTCCCGAATTGTGTCAAGATTCAAAAAGGTGACAAGATAGCCATCTGCGAACCTGTAAGAAGTGTCACCCGATGTGATGAAGTGTCGTCAGCTGTTACACAAATGGCATCCAAAGAAACACTAAAACATCTAGAACAGCATGTGATCACTTAACACCTGAGGAGAAACAGAAGGCCAAGCAGTTCCTGCTTAAGCATGGCAGTATTTTTGAGAAGAACAACAGTGGAAGAACAGATTTTGTGAAGCACCGGATTAATACTGGTCATGCTCAGCCAATTCGACAACGTCCTAGAAGGGTGCCCCTTTCAAAACAACAAGAAATGGAGACAATGGTAGATAAGATGCTAGAAGATGGAGTTATCGAAGAATCATCGAGTCCATGGTCATCTCCTGTTGTTTTGGTGACGAAGAAAGATGGTAGTACACGATTCTGCGTGGACTATCGGAAGCTCAATGACGTCACTAAGAAGGACAGCTACCCACTGCCACGTATAGACGACACGTTAACCACACTGGCAGGTTCGTGCTGGTTCTCCACTCTCGACTTAAAGAGTGGATACTGGCAAGTTGGTCTGGACGAGGAAGACAAAGAAAAGACGGCTTTTTCTACAGGAAACGGACTATACCAATTCAAGGTCATGCCGTTTGGATTATGCAATGCTCCAGCCACTTTCGAACGTCTCATGGAGGTGGTGTTAAGAGGATTAACTTGGAAAACGTGCTTGGTTTACCTCGACGATGTATTGGTTATGGGAAGAACTTTTGAGGAGCATTTGCGAATTTAGAAGAAGTCTTTGGCCGCATACGGAATGCTCACCTGTACTTGAACCCGAAGAAGTGTAGCTTATTCCAGCGACAAGTGGAATTCTTGGGTCATGTAGTCTCGGCAGACGGAATTTACACCGACCAGAAGAAAATCGCTGCGATCAAGGATTGGCCTAAACCTCGCGACAAACATGAACTTAGAAGTTTTCTGGGTTTATGCACCTATTACAGAAGATTTGTCAAGGGATTTGCCAATATAGCTGCACCCTTACATAGACTTACAGGTGATGAAGTCGGCTACGAATGGAACACCGATTGTGATGTAGCCTTTGGAAGACTTAAGGCGGCTTTATGTTCAAGTCCTATTCTAGCCTACCCGCAACAACAAGGGAGGTATATCCTGGATACCGACGCCAGCAATATCGGCATAGGTGCAGTGCTATCACAAGTGCAAGATGGCGAAGAACGAGTGATAGAATATTACAGTCGAGTTCTATCCAAACCAGAAAGGAATTACTGCGTTACCCGGAAGGAGCTGCTAGCAATTGTGAAGGCAGTTGATCATTTTCATAAATATCTGTACGGCCAAGAATTTTTAATTAGGACAGATCATGCGGCTCTCAAGTGGCTTATGGAGATGAAACAACCTGAAGGTCAAATAGCACGATGGCTCGAGAAGCTCCAACAGTATCACTTTACCATCCAACATCGTGCTGGAAAAATGCATGGTAACGCAGACGGTTTATCCAGAAGACCCTGTCAAACCGATTGTAAGCACTGCTGTAAAACGGAACAACGTGAAGGCACTGTCATGATAAGGAGTTTTAAACTTGGAACCGATGAACAGTGGACGACGACACAATTGAGGAAAGATCAAATGGAAGATCCAGACATCGGAGCAATACTACGGCTCAAGGAAGGTAACGGCGAGAGACCACCGTGGCAGGATATTGCGGACAGAGGGCTCGTTTTCAAAGCTCTCTGGGCTCAGTGGAATTCACTGGTTATTGAGAATGGATTGTTAAAGCGCACATGGGAAAGTGCGGATGGCAGCACAGTAACAACTCAGTTACTGGTACCAAGGAAGAAAGTTACCCAGGTATTGGAAGAAATTCACGGTGGTAAAACTGGAGCCCATCTTGGGGTAAACAAGACCTTGAGCAAGCTGAGAGATCGCTTTTACTGGGTGGATTATTGCGAAGATGTCAAGAAATGGTGTCGACAATGTAAAATTTGTGCAGCCAGCCAAGGACCAAGCACTCGATCTAGGGGAAAAATGAAACAATATAACGTTGGACTGCCATTCGAAAGAATCGCTGTTGACATTGCAGGCCCATTCCCTGAAACGCACAAGGGCAACAAGTACGTTTTAGTGGCGATGGATTATTTCAGTAAATGGCCAGAAGTTTTTGCCATTCCAAACCAAGAAGCATCGACTGTAGCTGAAGTATTAGTCATAATGTCTTCAGTAGATTTGGAATTCCTTTAGAGCTTCACACTGACCAAGGAAGGAACTCAGAGAGTCAAGACTGTTCCAGAAGATGTGTGATCTGCTTGGTATTCACAAGACTAGGACAAACAGCTTTTTACATCCGCAGTCTGATGGGATGGTCAGAGGATTCAATAAGACCATTGAAGAACATCTCTCGAAAATGGTGGATGAACATCAAAGAGATTGGGATCAGCATATACCACTATTCCTAATGGCATATAGAAGTGCAGTTCACAACACCACCGGACTTTCACCATCGAAGATTTTATTTGGTCGAAAATTACGGTTGCCTTGTGACTTGGTGTTCGGATCACTGCATCTATCAGCACCACGAACGATCACCAGACGACAGCACCCACGAACGTAGAGGACTACGCGGATGAACTGAAGGAAAGGTTATTGGGAATTCATAAGGCCGTGAGAAGTAAGATTACGCTAGCCAGTGACCGGATGAAAGCTCGTTACGACCTCAGAGCTAATTCTACGGGATTTCAACAGGACGATATGGTATGGTTATATAACCCACAGCGCAAAGAAAGGGAGGTCCCCAAAGTTAACTCCAGCATGGGAAGGTCCTTATACAGTCATCAAGAGGATAAATGATGTTGTGTACCGGATTCAACGCAGCCCTAGAAGTAAGATGAAAGTAGTTCATCTGGATCGATTGAAGAGATATCAGACAGGAAACCTTGATCAGGACGATCAAATTTGAGAAAGGGGGCAATGTCAAGAAAAATGGCCTATCCGCCAGAAATTAAAAATGTATTTACTGGTTGCACAACCGCAACGTATCCGCCAGAAATTAAAGACTTTTCAGACGCCATCTTTTAGTCAAGTCGAGAAGTAAGGGAATCAGACAATAGAATTGTCTGGTATGAAGAAGTACGCTTTCCGAGAATTGGAAATTTCGAGAAGCAGTCAATAGAGTATATAAGCCGGAGCCATCGACAACTGAGACAGTTTTTGAAATTTGAATATACCGCGTGGAAATTGAAAATCGGACAATTTGGTGAAGGAATCTTATAAATAGTTAGTTTGTTGTGTGTTATAAGTTAGTAATTGTGTATAAAGTGAGAAAATAAATTCGTTAAGTATTTTATCGTGAGTTTAAATTAGTGGACCCACGGAATCCGTAACATTATTATTTTCAGGCCTATCTTCTATACACTTTCATGGTCATATATTTCTCTTGTCTAGCGAAACCTGATTATGCTGCAATGTTCAATTTTGTTATTAGTCCCATTAGAAAATAAAATAATGTATTTTTTCTCTACAAAATTACATAACATGATTTATTGTGCTGATGGAGCTGCAAAATATCAATAAATATTTTGAAATTAAAGTACCTTTGTATAAATCAAATGTGAGGACAGTTTATACATACGTTGAATTAAAAGAAAATGTGAATTTACAATTATGTGATTTTTAAATGTATAGAAAAGTTAATCTTTAAAAATGGCCAAATTTTTAAAAACATTGGTATTATTTGACATATAAAATATTATTTTAAAATTTAGTGTAATATTCCCTGCATATTTTATAAAAACATGGAAGTGAAACTATATAACACTTGAAAAAAGAAGAAGATATGAAGAAAGATATGAAGCTAATTTACAACCCTGTATTTTAAATAACTTGAAAAAATATATACTAGAGCCTAGGGCTTAACTGCTCACCTGAATTAGTTAAATCCTGGGTAACGTTATCACAGAGTCATTCATAGAGCAGGAATAGTTATGTTTCAGTTTTATATCAACCAAATTTTACTATCATCACAAAACAACATAATTACAAAAGGCAGGCATTGTGTTATATTTTCAAAGATTCTTGTCATATTTTTGGTCTACAAATACAAAACATTATTAATTTTCTTACTCCTCAATTATTAAAATATAGCTGATCCTCAAAGAAAGCTAATATCTGACTCGAAAGTTTATAAACAGCAAATGTCCATCTACAAATAAAATTCACAAATGTGTTTTTAATATAGCATTTTTAAACAAGCTAAGCCGGCTAGCCTCAAGCAAAGAATATTGTATTTTCGTAGTAGAATTATCTTTGACTTTTTTGTCATGGCTTCTCCCATCACCGGGAGAAGAAAATTTTATCAGTTTTGTTGCAATACTAAACATATGTTTTAAAATATGTACTTACTTTTCAGTATTTTTGGAAAATTATGCATTTTGGCTAAATTCTGGACTCATCTTTGTTATTTCCTCCATAGATCTATCAATACAACATTTTTCTTGAGCGAAATATAGGCCTTGTTCCCATGTTGGTCTTCAAATAAAAATTAACTAATTGCGTTGAAATTCACTAATTATAGTGGTTAATAGATACCTCTGGGTAATTCGCGCAATATATAGGATATTAGTGATCACTTAAACACACATAATATTGCTAATACAACTCAAATAATTTGGAAATTCGCAAGCGAAAAATCAAATCGACAATCGATATTTGATATGAGAATATGAGCCTGTGATATGAGCAATGGCTGCCGCGGCGTCGCGTAGAGCGCGACTAGCGGGAGGCGGGGACTAAAACGGATGCGGAAATAAAAGCAGTAAAATATGTACCGGGTCATTTAAATTTGCGAAACAGCGCCCTCTCACTACAGATGCTAATTTTCCAAAGAAGTTTGATCTGTCCAGAGATCCGGCAGGCCTAATTCCCATATGCGCTTGATCGTCTCGTAGTTGTCTCTGCTGATGCCTCCGCGTCGGCGTAGCGCGTATTTGTCCGTCGGCGGAGGGGGCGTGGCTTGTTCGGGTGGTAGTTCTTCCGGAACTGGTCTACTTCTCTGTGCTGCTACTTTGGTCCTAGATATAGCTGGATGCCAAATTCTGTTAAGGTAGAACGTTTCTTCCTTCCTGTTGAAATTATTTGGATGTTTGTGAATTTCAACAGCTTCTCTGACCAGACGAGGATGATATCCAGATGTTGTGGCAATGACTTTGGGTGTCTTTGAATTGGATTTTGTGGTCACCATCTCTTAGAGCATGTTCTGCTACGGCTGACTTCTCTGTTTACCCTAATCTGCAGTTTCTCTTGTGTTCCGTAAGTCTCGTTTCTACTGAGCGTTTGGTAATTCCAATATATACGCTACCGCAGGAACAAGGTATACGGTAGATCGCTTCAGAGGATAATGGTTCTCCTTTGTCTTAGTTCCTCTTGGATGTGTTCATTAGCACAGATACGCCATTTAAATAAAGCCTTTCTTGCCAATGGCTATAATGACAGAGAAATAAAGGCGGCGGCGGCGCTGGCCCCAAGGCAGAGGAGACCTGACGTCAATGAACAGGAAAACATCATTAATAAGGCCTTCCTTCCATATGTTTCCCAGGTCACCGATAGGATTGGTAAAGTTCTCAAGAAGCATAACATCAAAACCATATACAAACCTACCCGGAAAATAAGGGACTTCTTAAGACCAGCCAAAGACAACGTTAGGAGCAATTCTAACCGACGACGGCCTAATAACCCGAAAAACCAAAATTCTTCAAACGATGGTCGCGAAAGCCTAACTACTACACCCTGTATGATTTTTTTAAAAATTTCAAAATATGTAAAAAAACAAAATAAATTATGCCTGTCCAAGCGTTTTCCCGAAAGATTAACCGTTTTTTAAATAACAAATATTGAATATTTGAGGGGCGTTTTCACCCTCTTGGAATTTGAGATTCGAGAAACCCCTCCTTATCGAACCTCTACACCTCACAGTCAATCCGTTTGCCATGCATGAGAAAAAACAATATGGCGAAAAATATGGATATTATATATATATATATATATATATATATATATATATATATATATATATATATATATATATATAGTATCATATATATATACTATATAGTTGACTTTCGAAAAATATTTGAAAAGTAGTTTTAAACGTCGTTGAAATTTGACTTTCGAAAAATCCGTTTGCCAAAAATTAGCTTTAAACGTCAAGCAGTTTAAGCAGAATCGTGAATACACAATGGTCATATTTTATGAAACACCCTGTATAAATTTATAAAAAATCTTAAAATATGTAAAACAACAAAATAAAATATACTGTGTGTATAATAGTTTTTTTTCTGAAAAACTCACCGGTTTTTAAATAAATAATATTTTAATATTTGAGGGATAGTTTCACCCCCTTAGAATTCGAGTTTCGAAAAATCCCTTCTTATCGAACCTCTACACCTTAAAGTCAATCTCTTTTCCAAAAATCAGCTTTTTACGTCAAACGCTTTAAGCAGGATCGTGATTAATTAATGACAAGATTTTTCGAAACACCCTGTATACATTTTTAAAAAATCTTAAAATATGTAAAAAAACAAAATAAAATATACGTGTTTAAGCGTTTTTTCGGAAACTTGACCGTTTTTTAAATAAAAAATATGGTAATATTTGAGGGGTGGTTTCACCCTCTTGGAACTGGAATTTCGAAAAATCTCTTCTTATCGAACCTCTACACCCTAGAATTAACCTGTATGCCAAAATTGAGCTTCTTACGTTGAGTGGTTTGAGCAGGATCGTGATTAATCAGTATGTCAGTCACTTAAGGATTTTATATATATTAGTATAGATTAGGACTGATTGGCGTATTTAATTGTTTTCGGCCACTTCCTCTTTCACAAGAAATGATTGCAACTCTCGGTATTTTTTACTTCATTTGATAGAAAATTACATTCTCAATAGAATGACATATCATATGTCAACTTTTGACATTTTCGAATATGGTTTGTTTGAAATTGCGACATGCGGTTCATAACGACAATTTGATTCAAAATATCAAGCGTGTGGTACCAAATTATTCGTAAAAAAATACTTTTTCCAAATATGATAATGAGCCACCTTTGTTCCATTTAAAATATTGAGATATAATTAAAAATACGATTTGGGCATCTTTTAACCGGTCAGGAAAAGACACGAAAAACATTAGACGATCAAACCTATTTTTCCAAGGCTCCTTGATTAAAAATTGGTGTTTTTAACACAACCCTGGCACTCTAGATTGACATTTTAAAATACAGTTTTGTTTTAAGCGAAAATGTCAAAAGTTGACATAAGATATCGTCCCGCCAAAAGTCACTAACTAACATTTTTTCGAACAACCAAATTCAATCACTAACTATGTTTTGAAGCGGAGAATCGATTGCAAAAGTCATTAACTACGATTTCTGGCTATTTATGTTTTATTTTAATACCGAATAGTTACTAACTATAACATCTTTATGCAATGCAATTCATCTTTAGACGCATTTTTCTCGGAAGTAATAAAAAGTAAGTTAGTGACTTTTGGCAGCAATGGGACGATATGTCATTCTATTTAAAGTGTCATTTTCTATTGAATAAAGTAAAAAAATACCGAGGGTGCCATTTAAAAATCCGAAGTTCCGGTAAAGCAGGAAGTGAGCGAAGAAGAAAGAATCAAATCTCGTTTTTTTTTATCTGAAAAAATAAAAAAGTTATAGGGGGTGAGCCACTTTTGACACGCACCAATTGTTTATACTAAAAAGGGAATTTGTAAAATATAGACCCTATCTTTCTTTAAACATTTATTTTTATTTTCACAAAATCTCTGTCACACAAAATAACTAAAAAATTGTTTTGATACTTTAACATATTATACTTTTTAAAATATCTACTTATTAAAATTAAAATGGATTACTTTTTTAATGTTAAGGCATATTGTTGGTGTATAGCATAAAAATTCTTTATTACCATATTTGAATAATAAATAAATTACAGAACTACAATACCATTATAGAAGCTGGTTATTAATATAGTATATTGCTTTTACGTCAGCTAAAAGTAAACCTTTTAGTCCCTTTTTACCTTATAATTTCACTTGACCGAAATCCGTATTAAATTAGCAATGAGAAAAAGGACAACATAGATCAACAATATTTATAAAAAGAGGTTCTCATTTATTGACTTATTTTATATAAATATAAATAGAATACATTTTCTTATTGAAAACAACAAAGTGTTAAAATATATCATATGTATATAAGATTTTTTTTTTCATTTTTCTATACACAGTTAGTATTATTTAATGGTGCAAGTACACACTCGGCGAGGCGACTCGAGGCGCCACAAAAAATTAACGATTTGTACATTGTTATTGGTTAGGACCGTCCTTTTTTGTCACGTCTCGGGTCGCCTCGGCGAGTGTGTACTTCCAGCATAATAATAGATAATTCAATATAGCAAATATCCTTTCTTATTTATAATAAAATTGTATTACAAACATGAAGATATTAAGGTTACAAAAAAGTATCAAATCAATTCAATATAAAAATATTAAGATGTTATCATAATTAAGTCAAAGTTTAATACAGCCATTAAATATAAAATATAGACCTGATATTATGACTAAAAAAATTTAATAGATATGCCGAAATGTCACGTACTCACAACTACGACATTTATTATAATATTTTTCCTTAAAGAAATAACGCTATACAATTTCATTGAGGCATTACTCAAATCTAGAGAAATATATTTAAATCTGATTACTAATATGTGACCACAAATATGTTATTTAGGGAGGCGCTCTTTTTTACTTTTGCGGAACTTTTCTGTTGATTTCTGAGATCTTGTTTGCTCATTGTAGATGTATCTTCCGTTTTTTATATTGTAAAATAATAAAATTAGAGAATTCTATTGACAAAGACTTCGGACAAAAAAATAATTGAAATTTAAATGTTTACTTAATTTTTGTTGAAGTTGATTAATTAGGAGAAACTTGCTAAACTCAAATCAGCCTAATGATGTGCAAAATTAGATTTTTTCTTTGGGATAAGCGGGGTATTGTTAGATTATAGACAAGACGATGATACTTTGATGCCATATAGAATATGTATTATGTGACATAAACAATACCAAGTAAATATACGAGATATACAATGTTTGTTGGAATTTTATAATCGTGATTTGTTATATTTTTCGTAGTTTTTGAATTTATTCAAATATTAAATAGAATATATATATATATATATATATATATATATATATATATATATATATATATATATATATATATATATATATATATATATATATATATATATATATATATATATATATATAATATATATATAATAATTATTAATTAATATATATTAATTATACAATAAATATATATACAGCAAATAAATCAATAAATAAAAAAAAATCTATTTTAATTCATTAGTAGTATTCGGTTTTTAGAATGAATAATAAAAATAGAATAAATATTTTTTTATAATTCGCTAGAAAAAAAGATGTTTAAAGGTAGGTAGAATTGGTTCGAAAAGCGTGGTTATTCGGAAACTAAAAGGAAAATAAATAAATCTCCAAAAATAAAAAAAAAGTTCATAGATATAAACTAATATCAGCGTGATCTTGTTAGCGGCATTTTAGGCGTGATTCTCACTATAACGTAACGCCGCGACGCCGCGCCGCCGCGCCGCAGCTGCGGCCACCGCAGTAAATATTCTTAAATGGCCAACAATGAACATATTTACAGTACATCTGCTGGATCTGTGTCTATGAAAGGAATGCGGACAAAAAACATTTAAATAAACAGCAATATATTTTATACGTCGACTTGACGAGTACGTCACCGCAAATTTGTCGAATTTTTATTGATGGGACGCGTCGTCTAATTTTTTACGAAAAACATCGAGAGAATATCGTTTCCCCTCTCACGGATACCGCGTAGCTACAGATCGGACATACGTACTGTACATAACCCGTAACGTTGCCGTCGCGTTTTATGTCGAGAGGGAGCGGTGCAGCGCGGCGGTGCCAGTGATGCTACGTTATAGTGACAATCGCGCCTTATTCGTATAACAAATTTACCAACTGGCAAAAAAAGTTTAGCCCTTCAGGATGTTGTTCCATTTGTTGTCAGAAGCGAAAAAATAAAAAAAAAAGTGAGCGTCAACGGTTCGTAAAAGATTATTATCGTTTTACGTTATGCAAATTTGTTTTAGGAGCAAAAATCCACTGATAAGCTAATTTCTGTCGGGATTCTACGCAGTGGTGTTTTCCAAAAATATATATATTTTAGATTATTCATTCAGTAGCTAAGTACAGGGTGTCCCATTTTGGTTGAAATCATACGGTATCTCCGTTATTAGTAAAGATAGAAGGGTGCAGTTTGAACAAACCTGTGCCACTTTTTTGTCAAACGAAAGATGCCGTAAACAAAATTTGCATAGCCCTCTTTGTTTCTGAGTTACAGGGTCTTTTTGAAAATTTTGCAATTTGGGACACCCCCTGTATCTCTGTTATTGTTAAAGGTATCGAGAAGGTTAAAACTGTTTATTGTAGAACTGTTTACGTAGAATACAGTGGTGTAGTCTGATATTCTACGAAAAAAATATTTTTAAAGATATGAACTAAAGTTATGTTTTCTTAAATGGAACACGCTGTATATTTATAAATTATATGATCTGGCTTGCCATAAGCTTCTCAAAAATATATATCACTCTATATTTATTTTCACTATTTAGTGCAATATTTAAAAAAATATATTAAAAGATCAAATTTATTAGTAGGCCATGATTGATAATAAAAGAAACTAACGAATTATTAAAAGTATACTGCTCTCTGTCTCTTGTTTTATTTTGAGAGCCACTAATTAATTCTGTATATATTAGGGAAACTTAATTATCTACCGCTGTTCGTAAATATTGGAAGCTATCGTATCGGGACTTTTAAATAATATTCCTCTAGCTAATTTACCTGAAATATACTTTCAGCAAGATGGAGCTCCCCCTCACAACTTAACTTACAACGAAAATATTAGAATTTTATTAAATTATTATTTCTCAAATCAAAGAATGAAACCTATGGACCCATATGATGGCCTCCCTTATTCCTGGAGTTGTCCGTTCTTGATGTCTGATTTTGGGGATTTTTGAAATATGAAAGATATCGTGGCAACTAACACAATGTCGAACCCCTGGAAAATGCTTTAATGATGCAAGCTTTTAGATATTTGCAAACCCATCTCGTTATAATAAATTCCATTATAAAAAAAGAAAAATATAGTCAGATATTCAGGGGTAACAGTTCAAAAGTAAAATATATCAATTCCAAATAAAATTTTAATATTTGTATGACTATTTTAGTAAATACCATTTTGATTTTTTGTTATTTATCACAGCCTACTAATAAGAAAATGATATATTGCAGTAAATAGTGAAAATAAATATAGAGTGAGATATATTTTTGAGAAGCTTATAGCAGCGCGGATCATATGATTTATAAATACAGGGTGTTCCATTTGAAAAAACATGACTTTAGTTCATATCTTCAAAAATATTTTTTTCGTAGAAAAACAGACTAAGTCACTGTATTTTACGTAAAAAGTTCAACAAGAATCAGTTTTTACCTTCTCCATATCATCCATAATAACGGAGATACGGGGGCTGTCCCAAATTGCAAAATTTTCGAAAAGACCCTGTAGCTCAGAAACGAAGAGGGCTATGAAAATTTTGTTGACAGCGTCTTCCGTTTGACAAAAAAGTGGGACAGGTTTGTGCAAACCGCATCCTCCTATCTTTACTAATAATGGAGATACCGTATGATTTCAACTAAAATGGGACACCCTGTACACATGCTTATTTTTCAAGAATAAACATACCAACAAGATATAAATATTATATATTTTATCGTCATTTCGTTATTAGCAATTAAATGTGCAGTCTTTAGAATGATTAGAACTATAGGTATAAACACAAAATTGACCTAAATATGTTACATGCCGATCGATTGCATCGGTTGATAAATTGCCGACATACACGTAGTAAATACTCATTTATTTTTATATAAATTTATTAATCTACACTTTTTCTAAATTGTCATAGAAGGAAAAAAGTTTATGAATGAGTTTAGAAAGTTCTCTAGTGCATAACAGGGTACTTTATATACAACTTATTTTTAACAACACCAAAGTGTCTTACACAAATTTCAACTACTAAAAACCTTTGATATTCCTTTTACCAGCTCTGGCTAGGTAAAACCAGGTAATTTAATAATAGCAAATATACTATAACAACAAAGGGTGTGGTATGGTGGAAATAATTTGGATATTTTTCGTTCGGAAGTGAAATAAATTAAATTAATGTAATTATAAAAATTAAATAAATAAATCTCCAATCCCAATTACTCCAAGCAAGTGGTAATAAATGCGAGAGAAAAACCATAATTGGTTAACTCTAAATTTGTTAATTGAGTATTTTAGTGCTCTTAGAATTAAATAATGATAAAAAAATATTCCCATATGTTTTATGTTTTTAGCCTGAGAATGATAGCACGCTGTAAAATAACATTTTTTAACCTCTCTTTCTACAGTTTATAACAATGTCTCCGATATTCATGACATGACATAATATCTTACCAGGTATATTACACTTTGAATAACCATAAATAATTATAAAGTAAATATGAAGTAATATAAATTGAAGATAAAAAACTAGCAAAAATTCAAAGTTGACAAGAAAACAAAACTATCATTTTTTTTCTAAATTGATTGAATGACGTAGCCGCCATCTTTAATGTGTAAATATAAAAAATATTTAAATCATTCCTTAGTTAGTTATCAAACATACTCTTCAATGATATGAAAGTCGGGTCAAGACCTATTTTTTATTGTTTGCTAATTTTTAAATACCTGTATTTTTTATATTATGACAGATATTTTGTTGCAATACATCTATCATAATATTAAATTATTATTATATTAGAGGTAACATTGTAGTTATGATAGAGCCCCTAACCAACCAATTATTTTTTTTAGTGGTGGAAAAAAGTGGTTCCTCAGAAAACTTTAAAACCTCCATTATCACGTCAAAATACTACAGGCAGCACATATAAATAAGATTCTTCGTCATCTTTAATATTATATAAAAATGCTTAATTATATTCTAATTTACTGTTATTTTTATACAAATATAATAATATTACTATCTAATAAAAAAACATTTATTTATTTTCTACACTAGCCTACACCCACGGAAGACAAGAGGGACCGACACACTGTTTCGCATAAATAAAAGGAATGGAATAACGCTTGTTGCGTGTATGACGTCACTTGTTGCGCGGCGGCGGTGGTGGGGGTTGTCCCAGTGGTAAAACCAGCGAGCCCTGGCGGTAAGGTAACGATGTCCTGCTAGGAACAGGAGGTGGTTTCAGGGAAGTGGGCATCGACAATTGCGACGTTAATGTTTTTGGAGTGGGCGGTTGTGCAGGGGGCGCTACACCCGCTGGTAATGCTGGTGGAGGATAAGTGGGAGGACCACCGATGGGTGTTATCGATCCCGGTTCAGGACTTGTGGGAGGAGGATGGCCAGCCTGGGTGCTGGCCAATAGCTGCGATTTCGGACTGCGGGTTAGAGCTGACAGCTGGGATGCAGTTTCTTCATGCCTTCCTTGAGTGCTAGTCGGAACTCTAACGCTGGAAATAACGCCGTGGGCTTGAGTGGTGGAGGGTATTCTATGAGTGGGTTGTGGTTGAGGAGGCATGGTAAATTTTTCCTTTCCCTCTTTGCCGGCGGCGATGTACGAAAATACGCAGAGAACCGAATAACAGATCTGATCTGCCTGTAATGTAAAACAAAAATCCTACTATGAATATTTTAGTTAGATCACTAGTTATTTTCATTTTTTTCTTATTTTCTATGTGTCATACACTCTTTACAAATCAGAATATGGATAACTTACTTTTTATAGCACCAAATATTAATATAAACTAATAGCTGATGTTTTAATAACATCATGTATTAGAAAAAAAAACTATTAAGTCGGTTTTACAAAATATATTTCATATGAACCTATAATAATCTTTGTTCTGAGTTTGTTAATTATGATAATTCGTTTAACCTTATGTATATTTTTTACAAAAAATCAACTGCCATAACTGTTAGCCAAATAGTTATGATGACTTAAAGATATAAAATGTCATATTATTGAAAAATAAAGGCATCAGAGTAAAATGTCATAGATGGTCAATTCCAAATCGCGGATTTTTTTTATAATACGAAATATATTAAAATTTGAAGTTTAACTACGGTATTGGTGTTTCTTAGGTTACATATAGAAAAAAACATGACATGTTTCTAATCATCATTTCATATCTCAAAAGCAAATATCTATAAAAATTATTTAGTTTTAATATTAACCAGGAAAGTACTGTATAATCCAAAATAAGTCATATTCTCTTGCAAATGGCAATCAATGACATTTTCTATATAATTTTAGACATCAAAAGATAGCGACCTTTATTTCCACCGCAGACTATAAAATAATAGTAGACATAAAATATGTTAGTTTACTTGTTTAAATTGTATTTAAACAAAATATGCTATCATTTTTCAGCACATTTAGACTACTCCTGGTTAGGAAGAAAATTATTACGTACCTTATATTTCTTCCGTCAATTATAAATCATTATTAATAAATAAATACACTAAAACTTCTATATATTACAAGAAATAGTACTAATATTATAAAGAAACATTAAATCTAAGTTTTTGATACAAGCGGAAAATGTACTCTTATTATTGACGTATTTGTTAGAATTAAGACAGAAATGGCGTTTCAGTATTTTAATTAAAAAAAATGAAAGACTTCTTTATTATTTAGGATCTTTAATAGAAGTTAATAATAATAATACCACAATGGTATTATTGACTTATTTATTATTAACATCACTTATCGTACTCTCATAGAATAATATATTATTTATAATAAAATCAGTTTGTGTTAGTAATTGAAAAAAATTAAATATCTGTACCCAACATTATACCTATATAGGTACCCAAAAAAATGTATTTTTTTCGCAATCGCTTATTTCATGTCTTTAAAAGTGCTATTCATAAAAAATAGAATTATGTAATCACTCTAGTACTCATTAAAATCTTAATCCATAATGATATTTTGTAATAATACAATAGTAATATTTATTTCTAAAATTTAAAAAACGTCAACGTTAATTATTCTCTAATATTATTTTTTGTCAATAAATTGACACAAAACAGTATATTGTTTGAAGAGCTAATAATTCCAAAAATATGTTGGAATGGCAAAATATGATCACATTAACTTAAAATTATATAGTTTTGTTAGGTTATGTTTGGTTAAGTTGGTACAACCAAAAATAAATGTTATAATTATAGTGTTTTTATGAAACTGATTGCTACATAATAACCAAAAGAAAAGCGGTATGAGAATATATTTAAAATTAAAAAAAAGTAAAAAAGCTTACATCAAAACTAAATAATATCATGCTCCTGAAGGTAAATTATTTAGGTATTCTGCTAAATTTTCTGCGAAAATCCTGTGGAAACAACGCAACATCTCGCTAGCCTACAACATTCAATAAGAGTAGCATGCAATGAATAAAGAAAAAGGAATCTGCAATAAAATAAAATTTAATGAATGATAAAAATATAGGTGATAAATACCATAAAATATTGGCACACGTGGTGGTTTGAATAAATTCGACTAAAATAAATAATCAATTATTTTAATTGAGAATACAAATTAATATGATATATTTAAATATCTATATTACTATAACAAATTCTAATATTATTAGAGAAATCAGAAAAAAATTACTCGTCAAAGCACATAAATGTGAATAATAAAAATAAAATCTAATAACAAAATTTAAATATCTGAAAATAAGCCCAGGTTATGCCTGTAGCAGATATATTACTTGTTATGAGTGTCGTGTATTTTGTTTTATTTTTATATAAATTCAGTTACTAGTATAATTAGGTATTAACAACAAAATAACAATAAGTTAGCTTACATGTTGTGCCAAAAGTAATAATATACCACCATATGTCTTTTTCAAATATCTTTCAGCACAGATAGTTGTGTAATAAATAAAATTAGTTGGCAAAAATATTTGTTAAATACTCAAACTGGTAGGCCAATAGGTAACCAATAGGTACACCTGATTTCGAAATTTTAAAAACAATAACACCCTGTATGGAAACTTATATAAACATCATAGAAACATATTTTCTAAAAATTCCTTCTAGATCGTATATTCTATCTCAAGAATAACAATGAAATAATATAAAAAGTGAAAAAAAATGTTTTATAATGAAAATATAATATAATATCTATAATGTGCGTGCAAACAATATATTCATAAACGAGTAAATTATTCATTTGACTATTAATAATAAAAATAATATGTTATGACTATTAATAATAAAAATGGATGTTTTAAAATTTTAGAATAAAAAAATAAATAGTTTTCAAATAGTAGGTAACATAAATTGTAAATTGTTGAATGTAATTATTTAAAGAATGTTTATACCGGATAAAAGAAACCAAATATTTAATTCATGAAAAAGGCATGTGAGGACCTATGGATGATACTGGGGCAGAGTAATAACCAAACCATAACAATATGCTATTTCTGTATATATATATATATTATATATATAATATGTATATTCTATATATATATATATATATATATATATATATATATATATATATATATATATATATATATATATATATATATATATATATATATATATATATATATATATATATATATATATATATATATATATATATATATATATATATATATATATATATATATATATATATATATATATTATATATATATACACATATTATATCTTACCATTGGTGATTTGTACTTCCTCTGGATAACTTGTCGTGTTTTTGGATCTACAAAAAAGATTAATTAATTTATCAAATTATAAACTAAATTAATAAAAATTTCTACCTCGAATTTCATAATCAAATTTTACTTTTATATCTTCATACATGTTGAGTCTTAAATAAGTGCAAATATTTTTAGGGCTGGTAGATCTCGATAAAAGAAACATATTTGCTCTTTACTGCTTTCCAAATAAGTCCAAAATAACCGAGTTATTTTATTTTGAAAATTTCCAAAAAACATGATTTTTTGGTTAAATTTTAAGAACCACTGGATCTTTTCTAGGTTTTCTTTCTTGTAAATTTAATCTACTACATATGTTGCTATATTATCAAGTATAATTTCTTGATAATATAGCAACATTTTTTAACTAAAAACTAAATAAAAATCCATTTTTTTTTTAAATTCCAAATTTTCACAAAAAACTCAGAATCGTATTGAAATTAAAATATATGCACTTATTTAAGACTCACCCTGTATATTATATTTAAAAATAACAATGTTTTTCTTTCAATAATCATTGAATATCAAACGAATCGAATTAAAATGTTTCGACGAATTGACTAGAACTATTTTAATATTAAGCTAAATTATATTGAGTTAAAATTATGATCAATAATATCTTAACTTACGTATGACTAACCTAAGCATATGACGAAAAAAAAAAAAACCAAAATAAATATACAAAATTAAAATTTTTAGCTTATAAATGGCATATTTTAAGGATTTTGATCAAAACACTGAACTGTTACAATCTACTTACTAAATTCCTCTATGATAAATATGCTTCCCTTTTGAGTATAGCATTTCCGAATATGCGAGAGCCTGACAAAAAACTAGAAAATAAAATTTTATATTAGTTGAGAATTTACATATACATGAGAAATATAACTTCTCAACGTCCGTGTTACAATTACTTTTCGATATTAGTATAATTGGCCGTGGTATAATTTTTATATATTTTTCACATATTTCCAACCAAAGGTAATTTTTAAAAATACGTCCATATTGGAAAGAAAAAGAAATGTTTTTGAACAACAGGCATCAATCTTTTTTTACAAAATGACTATTAGAATACATATTTTTTTAATAGTATTATTGTTTAAAAGGTGGTGTACAACCAGTCAAGAGAGTTTTATAGTATTATATTTTAATTTAAAAAACGTGTTTTAAAAAAACTGATAATCTCCCCAAAAAATCCTATATGGGTATTTCGCCACTACAAGAAAATCTACAAAATAAAATAGTTATTTTTTGTAAACACTTCTGCGTTAATCCCAAACGGAAACTATTTTACAGAAGTTAGGTTTACAGATATACAAATTTGCCTAACGAACAAAAAAATGCTTAACGTTTCGGAAAGTTTATCTCTTTCCGTCGTCGGAAGCAAAAAAATACAAAGAATAAAGAAAAGCACCATTTAAAATATTTAAATTCAACTACTCGAAAACACTTTATTTTTTTTAACAGATACGTCTACAAAAACCGTGCTGTTAAAATGACATTATATCAAGTTAAACTTCAAAATTAACAATTACTACCTGATAACAATTACTTAATAAGGTAAAACCAAAAAGCCCCAAGTTGCTTGAGCAATATATTTATTTTTATTATTTATTACAATACATAATTTTTTTTCAAGCTTTTTTCAGCTTAAAGCCGGTTTTAGCGACTAAAGCTTGATTTTCATGCATCCGTTGTCCGACGATACGTTGATACGATATTAATTTTATTGGTTGAGTTTAAAGACTTTGATTGGTTAGAAACGGTTAACAAATCGAAATCTTTAAATTCAGCCAATAAAATTAATACCGTATCATCGTATCGTCGGACAACGGATGCATGAAAATCAAGCTTAAGTCGGGATAATTCTTATCAACGACCTAATCGCGGTTCAACACAGTGCGAACGATAGAACAGGTAGAAAGCATCTATTTATTTTATTATTCATTTAAGAACATTTATTTTATTATTCATTTATTTAATACATTTATTTTTATTATTAAACTAAAGTGTTCTGAAATAGTCGAATTTAAATATTTTAAATAGTTTTTTATTTCTTTATTCTTAGTATTTTTTTTTTCCTGTCGACGCGCGACGACGGAAAGAGATAAACTTTCCGAAACGTTAGGCATTTTTGTGTTGGTTAGGCAAATTTGTATATATATGAACCTAACTTCTGAGAAGTAATTTCCGTTTGAGATTAACGCAGAAGCGTGTAAAGAAAAAATAACTATTTTATTTTGTAGATTTTCTTGCTGTGGCGAAATACCCATATAGGATTTTTTGGAGAGATGAATCCGCTACATAGGTATATATATTTTTTAAAACTAATAATATTGGTAATAAAACACAATCAAAATGGATCTATACGAAACCTGGTCTACAAATAATAGATATTCAGTATATCTATTACGCTCAATAGTCGAATTCGGGCAATGCCCGAGAAAAATACGCAAATCTAGTTTTGCGCAAGGAATTCCAAACCCGAAAAATTAATTTTATTCGATTTTTTTTTTGCTTATAGTGTGATTTGATTGCATTGGTTTCACTCTTTTTAGTTGGATTGGTTTAGTTATTTGGCGAGTTGATTAGCGTGATTATTTGGAGGGTGTTAATTCATTGGTTAGTTCGTTTTTCGGGATTGGGAAATATTCCTTGCTCAAAACTAGATTTGCGTATTTTTTTCGGGCATCGCCCGAATTCGACTTTTGAGTGTAACATATCTATTAAAAGTATCTAAACATTAAGTTTAGTTTATATTTTACATTTGTATGAATAATTTATTTTAAACTTTATCGAAGGAAATAATCAATTTACCATCTTTGATTTATAGCATAATTCAATATAATCATATAGCTTTCCAAAGCTGTCCAAATTGGTATATCTTAAAGTCAATTATTATTATCTTAATTTCAATTATTTCTCGGAATAGAAAAGGTCACTTAAACATTTCAATATTCAACAACGTCATGAAGATGTTACTATCAAAGATAAATATAAAAAATAATAAACCAAGACGAAGACACTCCTTGAGAAGAAATTTTCTCATTAATTTATTATTTAAACAAATATACTTCTTGTATCCATTGTTTTAAAATGTAACTTAAATTATTTAACCGAAATGAGTAATTACTTTCTGTTCAAGATTAGTCTGTTCAAGAAGTATATTCATTGTTAAAATAAAATAGAATGAAATGGTTTGTTAGTAGTTTCTAAAATGTATAGATTACTTTTTTGATTAGAATTTTCCAATTAGTTAAAGAATAAGCAGTGAACAGTTTGAATACAAAAATTTGATCAAATCTTTTTACTCATCAATTTGGTCATCTCTTAAGTCATCAATTAAAACCATTTATGAGTTTAATGTCAGATATAAATTAAAAATTGTTATTAGTTTTAATGTATTATGTTTAAGTTTCATAAAATGCTATGTATAAAATTTTTTCATGTCTATTCATACTAAGTATCGTAAGTTTCAACATCAAACAAATAATCTGTACATTTATCTGCGAAGGCTAGAATAAAGATAGAAGCAACTACTTACTGATGTGTAACAATAAAATGCATCCGCATGCATTGAATCTGGCGAACATGCTAAAAGCTCTAGGCAACTTTAGAGATGGTTTAAGAAAAACCTAGATTCGGTTAATAGGGTGTTAGTGTAAATAGTGTGTGTCATATCGTATATTTGGTGAAACACATGGTGCAATTAAATAAAATTTGTGTTAGTTGCCATGCGAGGGTAACTCGCAAAAAGCTGCTACATTGTCTACAATTATCGCGATAATTTAATTTTAATACTATTTTTAAATTTTAGTACGTTTTAGAGTCACGGTCAACATACGAGAAAATGTCTAAAGCTTCGTTAATTGTCCATCATTTCTAAATTCCTTGTGCTGTAGAACAGCTAAATTTAGATACGCTACGATAATCAAGCCAACAGTGCAATATTGTATTTGTGCGCGTTCTAACCTAGCGTATCGACAGCAGTGTTTAACCAGTGCTGAAGCTCTCTAACAATGCAGTTTAAACGTATTAATAATAGAGATGTTGGCACTCTAGTAGTGCTGAATAGCGGAGATCTACAGGGAAAGCGACTAACTAAACAAAAACTATGGCTAAAAACTAACGACCAAATTTAATAGAGACCATTTTTTATACCTCAAAATCCTGCAAGCAGCGTGTCGACGTGGACAGATGAACGAAAAAAATAATCAACAATTAGTATTTTTTGGCAAAAATGGACCATCTCAAAAGTTCCCGCTAAGCTTTCGAAAACTTTCTTGAGCAGTTTCCAGGTTTTGCATTGTTAATTCATAATACATTAATTTTGAAGTAAAAGGCATTTAATTTTAAATTAAATCATTATATAATAAATCATTAATTATATAGATCTGTTATTATTATTCGTACACAAAATATTATTAATAGAGTTTATGAATACAATATTTGTATGACTTTGCAAAACCCCTAACTACTACTAGAAGAAAGATTTTTTCGGTAATATGTCTTAAAATATGACCACTCATTTCTCAGAAATAACAAAGAGAATAAAAAGACATCGATAAGCATATAAGAATATACAGAATGTAAAAATTTAAGTTAAGAAGAAAAATTGGCACATTGAGCAGCATGCAATACAGACATAATTACTATTAAAAATTATTGATCAGTCAGTGTACTGAAAGTTACATGTTTAATATCTAAATACTGTAATAAAATAATATCTAAAAAATGAAAATATTATTTTTTTGGATACAGATCTACACTTAACTTATTTTAAATAACAAGAGAGTAATGTAATATTTAGTAAGTAAAAATAAAACTTATTAAGTGGTATACTGAAAACTACAATTTGATGAAAAAGTTTCTATATATTTATAACCAAATAACTTATGTTGAAATAGAAAGAAAAAACTAATAAAATAAAACTGATTGAGAAGGAAACTGCCATGCCAAGTGATGCCAATAGAACATGTTACAAGTCGACAAAATATTTGATACAAACATATCAAGTAATGACACAATGTATTACTTAGGAAGCTATTTTGTCATTATTGAATTAATGAGTAAAATTAAATGAGAGATGACGATTCTAAAGAGTGGCGCAGTATAGAAGAAAGTTTTGAGTGGTCCTTGCACAAAATAAATGCACATCGCAGGGCAGAGAACAACACTGAAATAAAATTATACAACAAAACTAAAATGGTGTTTTTATGTGTAACTTTTACGTTTTAGTTTTTCTACCATTAAATAAATAATAAATGTATAATAATCTAGCTGTTATAATTTAAAATGTCATATATAATATATAAATAAGAAATAATAGAATATATATAATATAAGATAAATTCAATTGCTTTAAGTAGTATTGCTTAAGAGTAAGCAACTAAAGTAGGTAGCTATTCAAATCATCCACAACAAGTTTACAAAATATAAACAGCAGGTATTAGAAATCAAGCGGTATAAAAAATTTTCAGGGCATTATATTAAATTCAATAAATTAAATATTATTTAATCAAGCAAAAGAACGTTAAAAATCAATATTTAATTAGTAAAATGTATTCTCACAACAAATCTGATAGGATTACTTCCACATATCAACTAGACACTATAAAAATGTCTATAAAGACTGTGTAATTTTATTTTACATGTTTGTAACTTATCTAAGGAAAATCTTGTGTAATTCTATTATCACATGTAATAATTAACTTCGTCAAACTTCTATAAACACCATTTTAGTAGAGCATAGTCTCTTAAATGTTTATTTTCATAAACTCTATATATAAGAAAGTAAAAATTGATGTAAATTTTAATGCACTTTTGGTGTGCTTTTATGTACATTTTCAGGCGATTGAAGGCTGATTTTTAAATGTTCTAGCACACCAATAGTGTTGTAATTCTAGTTCTATTAGTATTCCTTACAACTTTAAGCCTCTACTAAAGAAAAATATTGTTTTACCTTGCTATTTGCGAATAACAATCCCACCCCTTCCATGCAAACTTGTAACAGTCCTCCTTCTCCAGTTGTCATATCTTGAACTGGAAACTCTCCTCCCAATTCTGGAACGCTCTGTATAGCACCACTACGTTCAATTGCATCCTTGATGCAATAATAAACTTGCTTGCACTAAAAATAATATACAATTTTTAACGCAAAAACGTTCGCTAAGAAAACTGGTTTTTAAATATATATTTTTGTATAGACCAGTCCAGGCTGAAGAAAAACTGCAATTGACCATCAAACGGAACTTTAAAGAATTACATTTCGTAAATACAGCGTAAATAATAGCTTTGACATTTAGTATATGAAATATACTTAATCTCAGTTTGAGACTATAGAATTAAACATAATACACACACCCTGATGAATTTCTTAGGAAAGGGTCAGACACAGAATAAATAAACATACCGTGTTTTTCAAAAGTTGCTTATCCTATTTTTTGATATAAAAAACTAGATTAAGTATGTTAGTTTCCCGGGTGAGTCTCAAAAGTGGCTCACCCCTATAACTTTTTTATTTTTTTTATATAAAAAAATGAGATTTCGTATGTTAGTATATGACATAAATTAGGATTGATTGTCGTGTTCATTTGTTTTTTATCATTTCCTGTTTTACCGGAAATGAGTACAACTTTTTATTTTTAAATGACACCCTTGTATATTTTTATTTTATTCGATAGAAAATGATATTCAGAATAGAATGAACATATCATATGTAAACTTTTGACATTTTCGCTTAAAAAAATATTTTAAATTTCAATCTAGAGAGCCATGGCTGTGTTAAAAACACTAATTTTTAATCATGGAGCCTTGAAAAAATAGATTTGATCACCTAAAGTTTTTCGTGTCTTGTTCTGGTTAGTTAAAAAATGATCAAATCTTTTTTTTTTAATCATATCTCAATTTCTCAAATGGAACAAGGGTGGCTCATTAGCATATTTGGAAACTTATCATTTTTTACGATTGATCTGGTACCACACACTTGGTATTTCGAGTCAAATTGTCGTTATAAACCGCATGTTACAATTTCAAATAAATCATATACCAAAAGGTCAAAAATTGACATACTATGATATGTCATTCTATTCAGAGTATTATTTTCTATCAAATAAAGTAAAAATACCGAGTTGGTCGTTTAAAAATCAAAAGTTGTAGATATTTCCGGCGAAACAGGAAGTGACAGAAAACAATTGAATATACATATAAATCCTAATTTATGTCATATACTAACACACCAAATCTCTTTTTTTTATCTAAAAACATACAAAAATTATAGGGGTGAGCCACTTTTGAGACGCACCCGGTATATGACAAAAATCAGGATTAATTAACGTTTTCAATTACTTTCGATCATTTCCTATTTCGTCAAAAACTGCTACATCTTTCGATTTTTAAATGGTACCATTGGTATTTTCTTTTAATTTATTTGATAGAAAATTTTATTCTGAATGAAATGACATAAATATCGTGTATCAACTTATAACATTTGCAAAAAAAATGTAATTTCCAAAAAATATGCTTGTAAGCAACCCTCGTTCCATTTCAAAAAACTAAATTTTGATTAAAAATATGATTTGGTCATCATTTAACAGGCTAGGAAAAGACCCGAAAGCCATTAGACGATCAATTCTAGTGTTTCAAGGCTCCTTGATTAAAAATTAGTGGTTTTAACAGCTCTTTTTTTAAACACAGATTGAAATTTAAAAAACCATTTTTTTAATTGAAAATATCAAAAGTCGACATATTATGACGTGTCATTCAATCCAGAATGCAATTTTCTATCAAATAAAGTAAATATAAATATCGAGGGTATTATCTAAAAAAAAAATACATATTTCCCAGGAAATAGAAAGTGACCAAAAATAGTTGAGTAGGTCAATCAATCCCGATTTTTCATGTACTAACATACAAATCTCTTTTTTTATCTTAAGGAAATATAAAAGTTATAGGGGTAAGCTCGTACAGGTAAAAACACACGGTATAATTTACACATACCGTGTTGCCTACTTGTAAGTTTTTCAGAAGAAAATGATACCAAAAAATTTGCTCTTAAAATTATCCAAATATTTGCTATTAAATTTACCTTCTTGGTGTAGTATTTATGAACTTGCGTTTGTCCACCTGTCCTTTTCCACAAACATAACACTTTATTTTTAGGGCTGTAAGTCATATTAACCAGTCTTTCAAACCACCATCGTTCTATTATAACTCCCGTTACGGACCGTATCACCAAGCCATCATCTCTGACTTCCATGAACCGTAGGTCACCAGTACAATCGACACCTTGATGAACAGTAAAACTTTGACGGTGAAGCGAGCGTGATCCCAAAGGCTTTAAGTCGATATCGTTTCCATTCTAGAACAGAAATAATTTATTAGTACCAGTATATTATAATATTGTGAACGATGTAGTAACATGCAAACTGAGATTGTGAATTTATTTCACACATGTATTTTATTTGTTTTTAATTAACATATTATCTCTTCAACGTGCTGTCTTGGGTATACCAGTAATTATTGTAACAGTGTACCTGCTATTTATCTATGTATGTTTGGCTATTTTTTATGATATATACTACTACTACCTACACTGCATAAAGTACTTACCAAATTATGAACTTGATCAAGCAACATATTCACTTCTTGACTGTATACTAAACCAATATGACTTTTTCCAAGTAGTCTTCTAATTTTTCTCTTAATTTCTTCTTTGTTGCAACTCAGCATAACTAGTACAGCAGTTAAATTATAAAGAATTGTTGCTAATAACCTATCTTCTTCATGTTCGAGTCGTTTGCGTTCCGTATCGCTCAGACCTTTGTATCTTTCCATCATCTCCCTTGCACCCTAATTAGATAATTATCAATAAGAAAGAAAGATTAGAAGAAAGTTTTTTAGGTAATTTATTTCAAACGCTGGAGAGAGGGGGCGCTACTATAGTTTCTACCCCGGTTCAAAAAATTGAATGTACGAGACTGATTGGAAGACATTAAAAACGCAATCTTCAATTTCATGTTTTTTTTGTTGTTGCGTTATTATTGATTACTTATTATTTCACATACATTTAAAATAACGTATATGATAAACATATTGTTTGAAAAGTCCGTCCCAAACATCCACACTGTATAAATCAAAACTACAGGACCAGATTGAACGTACGGAGTCTAGGGAACAACGTTACCACCGACGCTCTTCGGGAAACCATCAAAGAATCACTTCCACCGAAAAAAAAGGAAGAGCAAATCAGAAATCGCTGGAAAGAGCATTACAGCCATGAAAGAGTAAAGGAGCAGCAGAGTAAACTTTATGTTGCATTCGTCGACCTAACAAAAGCCTTCAACTCTGCAAACAGAGATGCACTTTCGGCAATGTTGCAAAAGTTCTGAGTAGCCAACAAATGTCTTACAGTATGTAAAAGCCTTTATAACAATAAGTCTAGAGTGACACATCAAGGATCACTGATGGATTCCTTATTAACAAACACAGAAGTTAGGCTGTGTTGTCTCTTAGCGCCTCTCCAATTTATCATATTCATGGCAGCGCTCTCTATTATAGTGGACAACAAACTGCAGAAAAAAGGATTGGACTGCAGGAAAAAGGATTGGATAGAGATGCGATGGACGGTGGTCTGTTGAGCCCAAAAAGACGCAGGGTAAAAATACGTATAAAATTAATCTCAGCACTACTGAATATGCTGATGACTGCGCTCTAGTTGCAAAAACGTTACAGCAATTACAAGAAATGCGGAACACAATTATACCTGGGCATACGAGGCTTTAGGCCTTCATCTGACCATAAATAAAACTGAAATAATTTAAACTCCCCCGGAAAATCATAAAAATACTATAAAAATCGGAGGAGAACTATTGGAATATGTAGCGGAATTCAAGTACTTCGGCAGTTTGATTTCGGAAAAGGCCAACATCGACTCTGAAATTCAGCACAGAATTAGCAGCGCCTCAAGAGCATTCTGGAAATTAAAAGAGAGGGTTTTCTACAATCATGACTTGAGCACAAAAATGAAACCTGCAGTATACCGATCCATAATAATTCCCACTAAGTTATATGGAAGCAAAACCTGTGTGCCGTACCGCCAGCACATGAACGCATTAAACAAGTTGGAACAGAGACACTTGAGACACCTGGTCTCTAACGTATCGGTCCTTGAAAAAGCTAGCTGTAAGAGTGCTGAAGTCATGATTACTAAATCCCGCTTAACATGGGCTGGTCACGTATGCAAGAAAACCGCCTACCGAAATATCTTCTTTACGATGATTGTTTGGGTTACAAAAACATTAAGCTAGGTATGTTGTTTGTGAGGTAGTAATTAAAACAATAAAAAGGCGGAAACTTCAGTATTTAGGAGAGAGGAGAAATGCAGTAGTCACTACCGACTATACTATAATATATTAATACAAAAATCGTTGTCATCCGTTATAGTAGAGAAATTTAAAGAAGTAAATTTTATTAATAAGTTTCTCTTAAAAAATAAATATCCAATACCTGGTCCATTCCAATCATGTCTCTTTCTTGTGATACAGCATCGAGAAAAGCGTCTTCCCAAAACTGCATTTGGTCCCATAAGTTTGATCTTTCTTTGCCAACTAAACCTTCGAACAGGTACGTTCTTGTAGCTTCAGGTGATGGAGACTGTACAGTATTTATAATATGGCCACCGTGATATCTAAATCCAGTACTTAAGGATGATTTGCTAGACCACACACTTGCATTCCGTTGCTTCGGTAGTTTTGGAAACTGTATTTAACATATTAATATATTAGTTTAGGTTGTATTTCTCTTTCACTCTATAAGTATAATCATAAAACATTAAAAAATACATTTTTAGTACAATCATACTATGGTAAAAATCGGAATATTTTTCATCATTTCGACATGCGACATCGTATATGGTAATGCACTGACTCAGACAACAAAAAACAGACAGTAGAATCAAATGATATGTTTGTCGGACACGATATCATGATGAATCTACTTTACCATTTATGATTATACAGGGTGTTTAAAAAACATGTGCTGTTCCTCATTTAAAAATAAGATATATTTCTATATCAACATAAGTCCGATTCTGCTTTGTTTCCTAGCTAGAGGGGGTTCAAATTTTCATTTTTTAATTGTAATTTTCTTCCAAGAGCTCTTAGCGATTCGAATAAAATTTTGAGGGTAAAATTTACTATAAGGGCTACATATTTTAATGATAAAAAGTGTCGACAGGTTCTCCAGGGACGTGCGTATGGATTATCACTGGAATACTTTTCTATGAAAAACATGTGCACCACGGGCTTGTCCTTGTTATAATTACAAAATTGTATAGGACGTTTAATGCAGATTAAAATTGTACATTAATATTTTGTGGATTTCGATCTTTTTGATGATACAAACGCAATAATTGTGCTTAATAAAATTATTTTATTAAACACAATAAATAAAACTAAAATAAAAATAGAATTAATAATTTTTTTTATTAAATTTTATAATATGTACTGATTTCAAGGCTACCTACAGCAAATATAAAAAAATAATGGGATTTAAGATAATTGAAAAAAGACCTATTTCTTAAAAGTTCTAAAATTCTGTAATTTTAAAACTATGCATTTCGCATTTATGCTTACAGGAACTTTTTGATGAGAAATCAATGAGTACTTCTTTAATACTTTGGTCGGTTAATGACAACACAAAATTTTAGAGGTTGCTACAGGGTGATTCGGGTTTCCGAAAAAGCTCTATATTAGGTTTTTGGTTAATGAATTTCATTTCAATTTTTTTACATAATATGGGGGCAATGCTAGCGCACATTTCGATAATATTTTTGCCAACATACCGGGTGATTCAAACATATTTTCAAACCAAAGTTGTATATTTTAAATGGAATATTATTTCTTTTTAGCTCAGTAGATTTTCCGTTAAATTTCCGTTCCCAAAATACTTGAACTGAAATAAGCCAAAATCTTGAACTGTCTCAATCTATAAAGAAGTTTAGATACATAATAGTACCTATATTAACATTTATTTATCCCAGAAAAGTAAACAATTCACGAATATTCTTCCCTCTGAATTTAAAAAAAAATGTTTTAAACCCTTTCGCACTGAAATAATATGATATTCTTAAAAATCAGTAAAATAAATCAGTAATCTAAAATCAGTAATATAAATACAATAATGTAGTTAAAAAACTTACTTGCAAAGTTTCAACTTCAGTATCGGAAACAGTCGATCTAAAGGATGATTGACCCCCACCTCTATTTAGTCCACATGCCGGGCCTGTTGTAATTGAGCCGGGAGAAATTGTACCACCTGATCCATGCAACGTACCTTCAGCCTACATCCCCAAAAGTTTTAATTTTATTCTTCATATATCTATAAAACTTTTACTTACATCGGAATCAAATGATGTCAATTTACTGAGCAGTAAATTCTTTTTTTGAGTAATCATATCTTTAAAAATATCAGTTGTACTTTGTTCTTTGTCCGAATCGTCGCCCTGGATTAATCGTACTTCAGGTGGTTCTGTAATTTAAAGCCCTAGAATAGTTGCATTGAAATTTTATTAGTTTAGTAAGACTATACCTGCTTGTGAGGATTTTCTGCTCTCATTTTCCCACTCCGATGATTGCACGGAATATCGCGGGCTTTGAGGCGATTTTGGACTTGATGTCTAAAAGTGTTAATAAAAGAATAGTGCTAAAACAAAATTCTCAAACGAAACAACAAATGTTTATTAAAATCATAAAGTGTTACAGAGAAGGACATCTAACAACAGTTGTTTTAAAATTGGTGTTTTGTTTAATAGCAACTGACGGTTATATTGATGCAAATTGATTAGTTGGTTATGCAGTCACTAAGAATCTTACCTAACTTTAGTTAGAAGCTTAAACATTTAATTTTCATTAACCCAATCTTTTTTTGAGCTCTAATCGGGACCCATCGTCCCACCGGCCCAGCGGGAATTTTCCCTTATTCCCATCTACTTCTGAGAGAATATCAGGGAGATATTTAGAATAGAATTACAATATGAAGGTTATACGAGCCCTAACAACTATATGTTGGGACAAGGTCATATTTTGGAATGATTGCCCTGGTTTTTCAAAATGACTGAAAAATATATGTTTAATTTTTTAAATATAAACATAGCCATATATCCTAAACAACTTGACAATATTTTTATGAATTTGTAAATCAATCCATATTTACAGTAGCGGATTTTGTTCATAAAAGGACAAATTTGCTGACAACTAAATATTGGGACAAGTATTTTTAAATAATTAATATCATCATAAGCGGCTTTGCTATAAACGTCACAAATGTCGCAAACAGTTTACTTCAGCATTAACAGCTTGTAAGTGACTCGATACTTTGAGTAGTGAGGTTTACTGTAAGTAATTTTAATTTTCAATTTTGTTAATTTAATTTAAAATAATGGTCCGTGGAAAAGCTACAAATCAAAAACTACGCGAAATTATAATTCTTCAATACAGTACGGGAAAAACAATTCGAAATATTTCTGATGATTTAAGTATTCTAAAAACCACGGTCTTTAATATATTAAAAAAATACGGCGAATCTGTTAATGTAGACGTTAGAGGTAAAAGTTCGGGAAAGCCAAAAGTTGTATCTCAGAGAGATTTACAAAATTTAGTAAAATATTGCAAGTCTGCGAGAAGAAGCACTCTTCGCGAAGTAACAGTTAAATGGAATACTGTAACTGGTTTAAATATATCAAGAGAATGTTGCCGAAAATATATCCATAAGTGCGGTCTGGGGTTGTGTGGATAATCAATTACCTGAAGATTATTGATACAAATTCTTATTTAGGCCAATTTAGGAAAAACCGCTACTGACAGAAATTCAAAAGAAAAATCGCTACAATTGGGCAAAATCTAAATTATCGTGGACACAAAATGATTGGAGTAAGGTCATATTTAGCGATGAGTCTAAAAATACGAAATAAAGCAGAAGCCTTTCATAAAGATTGCTTAAAGAGGGTTGTTAAATTTCCTAAGGGGATTATGGTTCGGGGTTGCCTGTCAGCAAGATGTTTGGATAAATTAAATTTTATAGATGGCACTGTTAACGCCCAAAAATATCAACATATACTTGAGACCTCCCTTTTGCCTAGTGCTCAAGAATTGTTTCCAAAGGAAGACTATATTTTCCAACAAGATGGAGCATCGTGCCATTCATTAAAATCAACTAAAAATTGGTTCGATAATAAGAATATAAAAGCCCCCCCCCCCTATCCAATCCTGCAAGTAGTCCGGACCTCAATGTTATAGAAACTGTGTGGCATAAAATGAAGCAATATTTAAGAAACCACCCTTAACGAACAATTTTTGATTTGCGGACAAAACTGCGGGAAATTTGGGATAATTTTTCTCCTCAAATGTGCCAATCTTTGGTAAATACAATGCCATTAAGAGTTCAGGCAATTGTTAAGGCGAAAGATGATTTAACTCCGTATTAAACAAATTTCTTGTTGTGCTGTCCCAATATATAGTTGTCAGCAAATTTGGCTTGATTTTGGCAAAATAAGCTATTATCAAAAGTGATTTGTTTGCAAAGTTATAAAAATATAGTAAAATTGTCTAGATCATATTGTAATGTTTGAATTTAGAATAATAAACAAAACAAATTGAGTCGTTTTAACAAATTACTATTTTTATTGCAAAAAAGACCTTGTTCCAACATATAGTTGTTAGGGCTCGTATTAGTACACGAGTAATATTTTAGAGAATTACTCGTATACTAGTATACTCATGTTCTATTGGATCAGTAACATATTTTAGGCGTATCACTGATTAATCCACACTCCAAAAACTGTATGTTTTTATTTTTTATGTTGCTTCCCTTTTTCTTCTTTCAGGAGCGCTAGTTCATCGTTGCTGATTCCTCCCGTATTGATGAAGCCGGAAGGCAGAAATACTAAGTATCAACGGGTAGTCGTATTTTAGCCATGTTTCATGGCTAATCTTACGGTAGGTTTGTCCAATAATTTCATTTTTTTTATAGTCCCCACGATAACATCTTTTGTTTATTGTTCTCTCTGGGCCAAGGTGATAGCGGCGAGGTATGTTGAAATACCTCCGCAGCGGTTTTTTGGTCGTAACGCTTGCGAATTGTGAGCTACTGCTTAACCAGGTTGCAAATGGTGCCTAGTGCCTCGTTTTCTTCCCTTTTTCTTTTTTCAGGATCGCTAGTTCATCGTTACTGATTCCTCCCGTATTGATGAAGCCGGAAGGCAGAAACACTAAATGTCTACGGGTAGTCGTATTTTAGCCATGTTTCATGGCTAATCTTTCTGTGGGTTTGTCCAATAATTTCATTCTTCTTTTTTATTATAGTCCCCATGATAACATCTTTTGTTTATTGTTTTCTCTGGGCCAAGGTGATAGCGGCGAGGTATGTTGAAGTACTTCCGCAGCAGTTTTTTGGTAGTAACGCTTGCGAATTGTGAGCTACTGCTTAACCAGGTTGCAATGGTGCCTAGTGCCTCGTTTGCTTCCCTTTTTCTTCTTTCAGGATCGCTAGTTCATCGTTGCTGATTCCTCCCGTAATGATGAAGCCGGAAGGCTGTCCAATAATTTCATACTTCTTAATTTTTATCTATACATTTCTTTCTGTCTGTTGATATTTCTCTAATACATGTTATTTATTTGATCTATTTTGCTTTAATCTACTTTTATATATAATGCTTTTGATACCAACTATTCGATCGATTCTATACTATACCTGAGTAATATCAGTTGATAGTCCTGAATCACTAACATCTTTTGTCCAATAGTGGGTATGAGCAATTTCTTGCATCTGGAACACAGACGCCATTCCTCCCAAGCCATAGTTACTATAAGTTACCTCCAATCCATGTTGAATTGCTTGCAAAACTTTTAACATACCCTTCCAAACAGGTTTTGGCAGACACTGAAGCGTTCATATAAAATATCATTAGACATTAGCCAACATCATGGGTGTATAATTTATTATAAACTTAAATTATTTTTTAGGTAGTAAATTACTTATAGATAAAGAAACAACATACCACATCGTCGATGTGATCATCAGGGGCGATTTTTTTATCTAGGGTTTTATTAATTTTACTTAAAACGAAGTTTCTATAAGTCTCTTCTTCCATTAATTTTTTCAATCTATTTAATTTGAGCCATCCAACTCCTTCACCATCTAGTACATTTGAGACAATCTAGAGATAATAATTAAATGTAAAATAAATAAAAATATATAAGTTATATACATACATCTTTAAGAAATGCTTGATTGTCGTTATTTGTAGTGCTCTTGTCGATACTCTGCTTTCTCTGTAACTCATCTTGACGTTTAGGAACATGCTTTATTAAAGGACTTTTTTCCACAATGCCCTTGGGCCCTCTTTGAAAAGGCCCAAAAAGACTAGTTTTTGTATCTTTTGGTCTCTGGGGTTGAACTGGATCTTGCCTAGAACCACATATATTAGCAAATATGAGATCCAAGTTTGTAGACATTCATATTATAGTTTTTTAAAGAAATTGCTTTTAATAATTCCTTTCGTTCAAAAACAATAATTCAATAACAAAGGTAATTAAAAAAGTTAAAATCTATTTATTAGGTACAAAATTAAACCAAAATTAAAGTCTCTCTAAGGAGTCAGAAAAGATTTCGACAGACGACATAAGAAAATTTATACAAAATGCAATTTGCCTGTGAGTTAAAATGACAGACGCAACTGTCATTGTCAGAGATCCTTCCGTTGGACAGACTATATTTTATATTGGTTAATAGTTTTGTATTATTAGGTTATACTTTGTGATTAATTTTATAATTAATTATAAGGTGAAATATTTTGATATTTTTTGTAATTACATATGTTTTTGGTTTTGTTTTAATATAAACTAAATTTACCAGTAAGTAAATAAAAATGAGTAGTTTCAAACACTAAAAAATAATAAAATATTATTTTACTATCTTAAAATAGGAAAGAGGAAAATTTTAAATTGGGTAAGACACTTAAAATGATTCTGGAACATTTCATTTTTAAACAGACTGTATATCGAAAAGTGCAAAGTATACTAAACTATAGATTTTCGAAATTTGTCTACCGGTTAAGTTAAGACATTTGACGTTTTAAAAAATTTCAGATAAAAAGTCGGCATCCTAATGAAAAATTACATTAAAATATTTTTTTACTATTTTAAAATTGGAAACAGGAAAATTTTAAATTGGGTGAGACTCTTAAAACGATTCTGGAACATTTCATTTCTAAACACACTATATATAGAAAACTGTAAGTGCAAAGTATACTAAACTATAGATTTTCGAAATTTGTCTACCGGTTAAGTTAAGACATTTGACGTTTTAAAAAAAATTTCAGATAAAAAGTCGGCATCCTCACGAAAAATTACATTAAAATATATTTTTATTATCTTAAAATAGGACATAGGAAAATTTTAAAGCGGGTGAGACACTTAAAATGATGTCCCTATACATACTAAAATTCAATATCCAACTACATAATTTTTATAGGAGTTGTGGTTATTTAAACGAAAAAATTCAGCCATAAAAATATACTACAACGACGCCGACGCCTGCATTGATTTACTTTGAATTTGTGTGTCATTGATACCTCAACGCTTGTATAGCTCAGAATATAATCACTGTTCTAAACAGAAACATGCTTATAAATTTTCGATTTGTTCAATGCAGTTTTTGTGGACAGCTCTAGTCCTCTGACCAATAACTGTGAGGTTGAATTGATTTATAGTGCGATTAGTTAGATTAGGTGCAATTAGTGGTGTGATTAGTCAGATTTAACTGCCCAAAATGTAAACTTTAAATTACTTTCTATCATTACCTGACATTATCCTTTTTAGTTCCAAAGAAATCGGTGAACATACTAGTAGTGCTTGATGCAAGTCCATTGAGATCTGATTGTATGTTTGAGAAAAAGTCCCTACTAGCACCAGCTAGTGCTGAGTGAGCAACAATAGATGTGGTGCTACTTGTTGATTCTCGCCGAGAGTCCGGTTTGCTGAATGAGTCAGTCTAGAAGTAAAACGTAGGTGTTAGTAATAACGTAGGTGTTAGTAAGTAATATCCATTTTAGTTGCAGTTATCTTGTTTATTAGTTAAGTGTCTGAATCCAGCTACTTTTATTGTTAAAGCAAAGATGTCTCAAATAAAATTGTCATAGCGTTTCTAGATTTGGGAAATGTTTGAATGAATGCAATTTTAGCTCAATTGTTTAACAGCTGATAAAAAAAATAAAAATGGATTCCACAAATGTTTGCTAAATACAGAAATGCAAAGTTTTTTTAATACCTACCTACTTCGATTTTTTAAGATTTTGATCAATGTATTTTATAGAGGATATGTTATAGTATAGGCATTCAAATACCAAATTAAATTTGTCTTTTGATAACCTTTTCAATAATATACGAAGTATTGATCTATTGAAATAAATAGTGACATAAATACCAATACCTATATTATACGTCTAGTTTTTGCAGTAATGATGAGCAAACTGCAAGGCCAAGATTAATATTCCGTGGTCTTAGTATTGCAGGTCTTGCAGGGTCCGGTCTTGCTCTAAGGTTGATCTTGCTGCAGGAGTATTGTAAGTCTTGCATTTTCATTGTAATTAATTAATAGATTTTTACTAGAGATACTTTCTACATAGAAAATCTTTAAATCAATAGTATTTTTAGTTATTTAATGAAAATAAACCTTAATGAAAAAAATTATTAGAATATTTGTCTTACGTAAATTTTTAGTTTTCAATAAAGCAGGTGTTTTTAAAAGGTGGCTCACCTCTATAACTTTTTCATTAGCACATGACATAAATCAGGATTTATTGGCTATTGACATGTTTTCGGTCACTTCCCGTTTCATCGGAAACGACTACAACTTTTAATTTTGAAATGGTACTGTCGCTATTTTTTTACTTTATTCGATAGAAAATTGCATTCCGAATAGCATGACATCATCATATGTCAACTTTTGACATTTTTGCATATGATTTGTTTCAAATTGTAACGTGCGATTCATAACGACAATTTGACTCGAAATACTTACCAAGTGTGTGGTATCAAATTATTCGTAAAAATAATTTTCCCAAATATGCTAAAGAGCGACTCTCGTTCCAATTGAAAAAATTGAGTTATCATTAAAAATGCGACTTGGGCATCTTCTAACCGGCCAGGACAAGACACGAAAAATATTAGACGATAAAATCTATTTTTCTAAGGCTAAAAGCTTTCCTTGATTAAAAATTAGTGTCTTTCGTGCAGTCGTGGCACTCTATGAATAAAGTAAAAAAATACCGAATGTGTTATCTAAAAATCAAAAGTTGTAGTTATTTCCGGTGAAACAGGAAGTGACTGAAAACAATTATTGAATATGTACACAATGGTAAATCTCAAATTTCGTTATTTTATCTAAAAAAATTAAAAAGTTATAGGGATGAACCACTTTTGAGAAACATCTGGGTCTTAACTTATTGTTACATAATTTCTTTCTTTACAATTTCATGCAATAATTCGAGAACAATATTTGTAAAAACAATAATTTTGAACGAATAAGTAATTTCTTATATTAGTTATACGTGAGAAAATGACGTGAGACCTCAAGAGTTGCTTGGTCTTGATCTTGGCCTTGCAAAAGTCTTGCACTGGTCAGTCTTGGTCACTCAAAAAGCAGGACCAGAACTAAGCCCAGTCTCGCTTCTCACTGTTTAGCTTCATTATTTCATACAAAATAATAATGCCTCTTATTGATTAATTGAAGTATTAACCATGGAAATTTCTCAAATTTTGATCTATGTCGTGTCATTTTTCTTTCTACATTCTTTGATGTCATTATTTATTTTGTTTGTATATTTTAGTGTTTTTTTTTATTTCCTTCATTAAGCATGGTTGTATAAATGATCCATACTCAAGTAATTCTATCTTAATCGGTAAGAAGTAAAAAGGAGATTTGTAAGTTTATTTGAAAAACGGTAAAGAAGAAAATATTGTTTCTTTTATCGAGATCTACCAGCCTTGAAAATATTTGCACCTATTTAAGACTCATCCATAAAAAAATAAAATTATTACACTAAAATATACAAATAAGGACACAAAATGGTGAGAATAAAATTACGAAACTGATAAGGTAAGATGCAATATGAAAATTTTGATTTTTGTAGTTGTCTATTAAACTAAACCATCATTTTCATATATATCATTTAAAAATTAATGGTCAATATGGTCAATAACAAAAATATAAAGACAAAATTACTATCCCACTGGAAATTAAACACTGGAAAATTTTCAAATTCAATCTATATGATCGGTACCAATGAGACCATTTTATTTACGGCATCTTTAGTTTCTCAGAAAAGTATTTTAGGTTGATAAATACCGCAAAGTTCTATCTTTTCTTTATACGGGATAACGGTAAACTGTAACCAAAATGGGATGTATTGTACAATTTATGGTAAATATAAACGTTATACCCTCAATAACCCTTTCATCGTCACAGCTTCTTTGGCACTTTTCGTTAAATCTCCGAATGTAGATTTTCCGACATAAGTTAAATCGTCAAAAGTATTTTTGCTCATTGCGGTAGCTGACTTGCTGGCTTCAAGGGCCGTTTTACTCGCTTCGTGCATACTTTTCGTTGCCTCTTCTGCTGCTTTTTTTGCTTGGGATGTTAACTAGAAGGAATTAACACTTTGGGTTTAAAATGTAACTAAATCTAACTTTAGAATAGGTAAAAAGTAACCTAATAAATATTGTATTCTTAGCGTACAGCATGCGACTTTAAGAGCTTATAGTACAGAATCCGGCTGCATGATTGTTACGCCCATCGTACTTTTAATCAAAACCTAATTTTTACGAATATTTATGGAACATCCCGTATATTATTCCTTTGTTAGATGGAGAATTAAAAATAAACATTTTTAATATATAAATTATTTCAAAAGTTGAATCTTGTGTCAATATCAGCCTGATGGTGTTTATCGTTGAAAGAGCCCTGATTCACTCATACTTTTTATACTCTCATACACTCATACTTTTTTGAGCTACCCTATAGAAGTTAAAATATTTTCCTGAAATGCATCCCAGTATATACTTTAGCTTGGCACTTAAACAAAATTCCTAAGTTTTATATATTTTTTTTATATATGAGCTACAGATGCCCGACGCACTGTAGCCGGGTCCCTAGGAAAAACTTTGAACCGTGGCAACCCCTATTTGCGGCAAGTTTTTGAAAGACACCCTGTGAAAAGTGTATTCTCCTATTCATAAATATAAGTAAAAATTAGGTTTTGATTAAAAATACGATGAGAGTAATAGTCATGCAGCCGGATCTTTTATGTCCGGACTATTATGTGTATCTAGAAAGATTTTTATAATCAAAATCAAATCATATCAAATAAAAACTTTATTAGTATATTACCTGTTAGTTAATAATAATAATTTAACATTGCTTTACTTCGTTAATAAATAAACAAGAATATAAAATACAGACAAGTGTAAAATACAATACAAATTATAATAAAATTCAGTGAAGACAAAATACAATAAATTTTAGTGAGGACTAGTAAGGACATCGTGCCCAATACACACACCCTGGTTCCCGTAGACTGTGTTAGATATGGCAATTAGCAAAAATTCATTTATAGAATAAAACGGATTGACTTCCAAATAAGATTTAATACATAGCTTAAAATTATTTAAAGTCATGTTGAGATAGCCAGGCGGCATGTGATTCAATAATTTTGGATCGAAGTGATTTAGGCTGTAGCGTATAGTTTTATTAGTATGATATATTTCATTACAAAAACAAATAAGTTTTTGTAAAATTTTTCGACTTTTTTATTATTTATTACTTATTTAGGTTCTTTCCGGTTAGAGCTGATGATGCTCGTAACACGTGTAACATACTTTTTAACATATACAGATATGTATGTAATATGATACATTATATGAGACTAAGACTTTGGGACTTTTTTCTTTCTAATTCTAAAAATCATCTCTTTTAGAAAAATAGGCGCCTTCTTTAAATTTAGTAAGGCATGGAGTGATATTTATCTTACAACTTGGATGGAACTGGACAGGATATATGGTTAGAATGCCAGATGGACGGTAGCCAAAGGGATTTGTGAAAATGGAGACCAAGAAGGGCGGGACAGGGATCGGCAGTAGTGCGTCGGTCATCTATAACTCCTAGAATAAAAAACTTGGGAATTTTGTTTAAGTACAAACCTAAAGTATTTACAAGGATATATTTTAGAAAAATAGTTTAACTTCTATAAGGTGGCTCAAAAAAGTGTGAGTGGATCGGGATGATTTTTTTTAAATGGAACACTCTGTATATTATTACATTTTTGGCTTCCTTTCAGATCACTTTACATAATCATAAGATATGAGTAAACATAATTCGATAGTTTCAGAGATATTAATAAATAAATAAAAAATATATATTTTCAGCCTTTCTTAAAAAAATTATTAAAAATACAAGAAATGTCCTGATATCAAAACTATATTAGGTATTTATTTTAGATGGTCTGAGCTTACGTGCCTGTAAATATGATAATCGAAAATCATACAGGATATTCAAAATTCTACGCCTAACTTTCTAAAATACAAAATAATTTTTTTTTTCAATGGTACACCCTATATATTATTTCTTCAATAGAAGGAGAATTAAAAATGAACTTTTTTATCTTTAGAGTATTTCAGAATATTTAACAGTTTAGCAGATATTCGCGGTTTTATATTTCATGTGGCATTTTTCACAGTAAATTTTTATCAAAGCGAATCAACTATTAATTATTTTTCTCTCGTATTTTACCGATGAAAGAGCCATTTGAAGTAATACTGCATGTATCTGCGAAACCATTAAACATTTTGAAATATTTAAATACAAAATGTTCATTTTTAAACTCTCCATCTAATAAAAAAATATACAGGGTGTTTTCCATTTAAAAAAAACAAAGTAAAATTATTTTATATTTTAGAAAGACTGGCGTAGAGATTTTGAACATTCTGTATTTAAATCATACAGAATTGCGATTTTTATAGCAAAGCAAGTATAAACCATCTAAAGTAAATACCTAATATAATAATAAATAATACCTCTGAAATTATCGAAATACATTTACTCATATTTTAGGATTCTGTAAAATGATCCGAAAGAAACCCAAAAATGCAATAATATACAGGGTGTTCCATTTAAATGAAATCATGCCGATCCACTCACACATTTTAGGCACCTCTATAGAAGTTACAGTCTTCCTGAAATACATCCTCGTACATACTTTAGGTTTGCATTGAAACAAAAGTCCCAAGTTGTACCTATATTCTAGGAGCTACAGATGCCCGACGCACTATTGCCGGACCCTGCAGAAGCAGAGGAAGAGTGACTAGAAACTGGATTCAAGTGGCACAAAATAGAAAGGAATGACAGAGTTAAGGAAGGCTTTTGGTAAGTAGTGGACCAGAAAAGCGAAATGATAGTTCCCGTAAGTTAAACACCATCAATGAAATATTTAAGATAAAAATTAAAATTTGGTTTTAAAGTCTTTTAAATTTCTTCCAATTTGTCCTTAAAACATTTCTTTAACTAGCAATGCTAGTTCTGCAATATAGCTATCGCTTAAATTCAAAATACTACACGAGGAAGACTGACCACTACCAATTTGTCCATATGAATATGTCCATATGCACGGGCATTACGCCATATTTAATTAATCAGTATCAAAGCTTCCTTCATTACCTTATATGAATTTTTATTGTTTTTATTTTTTTAAATTACCCTTGAATTTCCTTGGGGAAAAGCTACTGTTACTAAAAACCAAACAATATTTCTTTTTAAACAAACCTTGTCAAACGGTGCAAACATTTTACTTTCTTCGGCCTCAGAAAGCTTTTCTTTAGCTTGCGTTTTTAGCTAGAAAGAAAATTTCGTTTTGTTATAAAACTTTACTTATTAATTATTTATGCCATGAAAAGCGAGGTGCAATGAATAATAACTTATATTATATGTTTTTACACAAAAAGGTATCGATAGTAAATAATAAAATATATCGGGTAAAAATATCGATATTTAAGGATATTTCAAGGTGTAGATTTTTGCATAGATTGTCCACATCCTGAGACTTCCTGTTTAACTGGAAGGAGATACTACCTTATTTATTTTAAATCGTACTAAATATATATTTTGTTTTTTGAGTTTTACCCCGAGAAATAATAATAATTAAGAGTTAATGAGTAGAGAATAAAGAACAGAAATTAAAAAGTGGACAAATATAATAAATCAAACCATGAGATTTTTAAGCTTTTAGAGCTATTACATGCAACATACAGGGTGCTAAAAATAGTGTATCTGACTTCGGTGGCTGATTCTAGAGATAAAAATAAAACAAAAAGTCATACGAACATATGCCCTAAAATGCTTGCCGAAAATATCACAGCCCTCAGGATAAATAAAAATAATATATTTTGTTTATTTTTAAGAGTATTGGTAAATCGTTTTTCTTGAAATTTGGTACTTTTACACACATTTTAATGCCAAAGCGAATGGCAATAATGTAAAATTCCCTAACAGCTCTGAAAGGGTACTTTTCATTAGGGTAGAGAGTACTGAGTACTACTGGTGGTACTTTATCCTTATAGACACAGTAATGTCAATAAATGAAAATTACAGCTAGGACTTTTTATGTAAAAAGGTGCTATTCGTTTAGTTCGAAACAGTGAACGGTTTTCAAGATATTTGCCTTTAAAGGTCCCGATGCATCCATTTTAGCATTAGCGAAATCAGGAGATTCATTTATTTAAAAAAAGTTCTAGCTTTTTATATCATTTGTTGAAATTACTGTATCTATAAGGATAAAAAAAGTACCCCCATTATTACTACCCCAATGAAAAGTATCATTTTAGGGCTGTTAGAAAATTTTCACACACTGCTATTCGCTTTAGCATTAAAATGTGTGCAAGAGTCCCAAATTTCAGGAAAAACCTCAGGTTTACCAATGTTCTTAAAACTACAGAAAATATATTATTTTTATTTAACGTTTCGAGAGCTGTAACTTCTTCGGAAAGCATTTTAGGGAATACATTCATAAGAGTTTTTTGTTTTATTTTCCACTCACCGATATACTATTTTTTGACATCTTGTATAATTTCACCTGTAAAGTAATGTTCAAGTGTAAACCCGACCGTTACATTATATAAAAGTGTCATATTAACAAATATTAACAAACAAGAACTTAAATTTTTCTACGCGTCAGACAAGATTTTTTTGTTAATGCAGCAGTATAGAATATTACACACAAAATGTGTTTAAGCTTGGTTGACACGTATACTTGGATTAATACACTTGGACGCTGCACGCATCTTACTTGGACACTGCTAAACGATTTATAGTTGATTAATACGATCCAAGTGGCGTCCAAGTGAATTTGATCCAAGTACACTTTGACCGTGCCAAGAAGGCTTTTATGTTTCATATGGAATCCAAGAAGCGTAAAATGTGTAGATGGTTTTCTTAACATAAATTAGCAGCTAATTCCTGATAATCTGAAGTACGAGGAAATAAAACAAATTTTTTTTAAAAGAAAGAAAAAGACAGAAATTACACCTCGAAATATCTTTAACCTAAAACGTTGAGCGCTGTGTCCAAAAACTAACTTTGAGTTTCATTATAAAAATTGAACTAAAGGCATACGATGGATTTTTGCTTATTTTTCATAATTACCTTATCCATTTGCGCTAGAATTCCATCCTGACTGCTTTGTCGAGTTGTTTCTCTGACTAATTCTTTAGCCTCTGATGCAAACCTCTCAAACAAAGAACCTTGTGAACTTTGTCGTGTAATCCCGCTGCTGCCGCTGCTGGCAGAATGAAGCGGTCCAGGACTTCCCGATGATCCAACACTGCCTGTTTTGGAGAAAACGTTACCGACACTAGGTTGTTTTTGAAGTGGTGCCGGAGTAACAGGAGGTCCCTAAAATTGAGAATTATTCACTTTTTATTCCTTCAAATATTGATCTCAGAAATTTCGAATTTTTAAAATCTGTCTTTTTTATAATTATATAAAGCGATATGCTTCAATGTTGTTTGCATTAAAAATTATTGCTATATTTTCCAGATTAAAATACAATTCATACCAAATAAACTCTTAGTCACGTGATTAAGCTTGACCGGTACCAGCGTTGCCCACTTTTATATATTTTCTTTTAATCAAAATGTTTTAGGAGACAAAAATAAATTAATTATAAATATATAAGCAGTTATTATTTACATCAACAAAACTCGCCTTCTTAACAGCACTTAAAGGACACCAAGTGCTATTACTATCGCTTTCCCGTCCAAAATATTCCAATAGTTGCGATGATTTTTTTACGGCTATTAAGCTATATTGTACACTTCGCACTAAAAGAGGTTCTAAAAAGATGAATTTTCGACTGCAAGCTCTGCTTCTAAACATTTTTAAGCTTAAAGTATCATAACATTATTTATTTAAGCTTTTTTAGTCAGCTCGACGCCGAATATGTCCATGGTTGGCAACAATGAATTTAAAAATCTCGATTACGTAACTAAAAGTTTAATTGATATTAAATGTATATAAATATTTTTTAATGAAAAGAGATTCTGTTATGTAGTATTTCCGTTCGATATCTACTCATTTTTAAAATTGAACCGTGGTATTTCTTCTATAAAATAATTCTAAGTACAGGGTGTCCCCTTTTAATGTGTTTTATGGGGTTTGTCTTTTTGGAATGGAGATCCTACAAAGATGCAGTTTTCACATCACTGTGCTACGTTTTTTACAAAACTAAAAATACTACCATACAGATTTGTTCCAGACCCGTAAGTCTTGTGAAAAACAGGGCGAATTTGAAAATATTGCATTTTTTGACTCCTTTCGCATCTTGGTTAACTTTTATAATAATAATAATAAATAAATAATAAATAATAGTTTATTGTCTAACAGGAAATCCCAAATTAAAGACAATTGTGTACACTAAAAAATTCACAACATTCATAATAAATGAAGCTAACCTAAGCACAAATCAACAATAAAAGTACAATGCAAAATATAACAATCCTATATGTAATCTTAAAAAAATAACACCTAGTATAAATTTAAAAGTGAAAGTAAAACTCTAATTCTAACGAACTACAATAAAAAATATCAAAAAATGCTAGGCTTCTTCATTTGCCGGACCAAAACATTCCTGAATTGACGCAGCGAGTCGCCAAATATATCAACAGATGCCAGGCTCTCAACATCATTGAAATCAGTACAGGCCCGGTAGAGGGGTGCCTTACTGGCTAAACAATTCCTGACGTTTGACAGGTAGAACGTGTTTTGATTTCTAGTACGAACGAGCGGAGCTGAAAAGTTCAGCCGAGCTAATAACGAAGCGCAGTCAGCATGACCGTTACAAAGTTTATAAAGGAAAGATAAAGAGTGAAAGATAAATGAGTTTGCTCAATAGATAAAAAATCAAACCTTTGCAACAGCTGTAAGTGGTTATAACCACGCTCTGGGAAAACACCATCCAGTTTGAACGAGAGATATTTTAGGAATTTACGCTGAACGTTTTCTAATCTCCGTATATGGACCTGGTGAATTGGTGACCAAATTTGAGAGGCATAATTGATTTTTGATTTCACAAGGCTCATGTATATAATGCCGTTAGACATAATGGACTATTGAAACCTTCTGTGGATCTCAGGAGAAATCCTAAAGATTTAAGAGCGCCACGGGATACTTCATCAATATGTATGTTAAAAGTCAGTTTCTTATCCAAGTAAACACCCAAGTCCTAATAATAGCTTCCGTATATAGCGTTTAACGCCTTGGGAGTAGCAAGGTACAGCTTGCCATGCTAGAGCCGTTCGGTATAAAAGGAAAGTAATGTGGCTAGCACTACGCTTCAACCGCCTATTATTATCTCAGGATTGTGAATCCCAAGTACTCATTTAAGGCTGAGTCGACCTAGGTACCCAAACTATTTTTATTTTAATATTTATTAAAATTATCTTTAAACTTACCTAAAAGTTGTGGATAACCAGTGGCTAACTATTTTTTTGCTGGGAACTGTCATTTTCGAACTATGATTCAAACTTAATATAATATATTCTGCTTTATACCGTACGATCGAAAAAAACGGCGTCCAATTGGTTTGGAAATGAATATCGATGACATTCCACATATAATTTTACATATTAAATGACCGAGATCTTCATTTCATAGCCATTGATAAGTTTTTTTTCTCCGTTTATCTTATTGTATAAACAATAAGAAAAGTGTATAATCATTTTATTTAATTTAATTTAACCAGATAATTTTGCTTTCCATTGTATTATATTAGATCAATAAATACTATCAATACGAGTTACTGATACTTTAATGTACTTGTACAATAATTCTACACAGAAACTAGCGTAGAATGGCTAATAACAAAAATCTGACCTCGAAAAAATTATTCAATTATTTTGATTACCTATTTTAATCCGGCCGCCTATGTTATGTAAATAATGCATTTTTATCTTATTTATGAAAATAAGTATAGTACCTATAGTATATGTTTATAAAGGTCATGACCATGATAAATAAAATAAAAATAATATAATATAGAAGGTATCGTATATAAAAACACAAGTTTGGATCATATTTCACAAATGACAGCTTGCAGCAAAAATTTAGTTACGCCACTGAATTCTGCGTAAAAACACTATATGAAAAAGGCAACATTTTCAATTTTGCCATGTAATTCAAGAACTAGGACAAATTTGTGTGTAGCATCTTTAGTTTCATGATATAGTAGTACAGTGATTTGAAAATCGCAACTTTGTAACTCTACTTATAAACGAGAAACCCTGCAAAACACAAAATTTGGACACCCAGTGTTCCATTAAAATGAAAGGGTATATGTTCATATCTGATGTAAAAATACTTTTTATAATCATTAATAGATATAACTCTCTCTTCGTTCAAGGCCCCTCTAATTAAATAAATAAATATTTTTATTTAAATAAATAAAGCAGCCCTTGCTCCTATTAGCATTGAAATTTAATAGTATAATTACACAGCCACACAAAATAAAAAAGTGGTCTATGCTTTTTACCAGACCATATCCTATAGTAATTTTCGACGCTGAGCACGAATCCGCTATCAGAATTACGCCATCACATCTCTTTTTTTTCTAACCTCAAAACCTTGGTGAAAATCCGTAAAAATTCAGGAAAATGTAGAAGGAAAAAATAAAAAATAAATGTTTCTCATGTATAACACTCTAACCTAATGTAAATGGATCTGATAAACTCAAAACACCCATCAGAACTGAGCTAGCATGTCTTTACCAGATGTTCTACATGTCCGCCCTATCCCGATTTGGGTTAAAATCCGCGCGATTTGCGAAAATTATGACTTGTGGTGTTTTATTGGGGTTAGAAAAAATATGGACACATGCTAGCTCAATTCTGATGGGTGTTTTCAGTGTATCAGGCCCATTTACATTAGGTTGTAGTGTAATTCATGGAAAAAAATTCCTACTACAATTTCCTGATTTTTTACGGATTTTCACCAAGTTTTTGAGGTTAGAAAAAAACGAGATATGATGGCGTAATTCTGATAGTAAATTCGTGATCGGCGACAAAAAATACTATAGGATATGATGGTCTGGTAAAAAGCATAGACCACTTGCGAATGCGAATGAGCAACGGCTGCTTTATTTATTTAAATAAAAATATTTATTTATTTAAGTAGAGGGGCCTTGAACGAAGGAACAGTTATGTCTATTATTGATTATACAAAATATTTTCACATCAGATATGAATATATACCCTTTCATTTTATTGGGGCACATAAATGAAAAAATAGAGTGTATACTATTGTATAAAACTAAGTGAAGTGAGGGACTTTTACAGGATCTACAAAGTCCGGCAATAGTGCGTCGGGCATTTGTAGCTCCTATAAAAAAAGTAAAGAATTTTGTTTAAGTGCAGACCTAAAGTATGTATGAAGATGTATTTCAGGAAAATATTTTAACCTCTACAGGATGGCTCAAAAAAGCGCGAGTGGATAAGGATGATTCTTTTAAATGGAAAACTCTGTATATTATTGCATTTTTGGCTTCCTTTTTGATCTCTTTACATAATCCTAAGATATATTACGAGTATTAAATATGTTTTGATAGTTTCAAAGATATTAATAAATAAGTAAGTAAACATTTTTTTCAGTCTTTTTTAACCTAACCTAACACCCTGTATGGTTAAAGAGCACGATTTTTATGACAAAGTAAGATCCACTACAGTAAATGCCTAATATAGTTTTGATTTCAGGATCAAAATGGAAGCCACAAATGCAATAATATACAGGGTGTTTTATTTTAAAAAAATATCCCTATCCACTCATACTTTTTTGAGCCACCCTGTAGAGGTTAAAATATTTTCCTAAAATACATCCTAATACATTCTTTAGGTCTGCACTTAAACAAAATTCCTTACTTTTTTATTATAGGAGCTACAGACACCCGACGCACTATTGCGGAAACCTTTAGAATATCCTTCACATTTTCTTATAAAGTAGGAAATAAAAACAACAGTGTGAATATCGAAGCGATATTTTTATTAAAAAAAATTACGTTTAATAACTTACCGATTTTTTTCTAGGTCTTCTTGTACTCGCAGCCTTATCACCTTCGACCGAAGACGTTTCAGATTTCTGATTATTATTACTGACGATAGTTTTCGGTGTGGTCGTAGAATTAGAATCCGACTCATTTTCATTGCTCAACGCGTCTTCTCTTTCCAACTTATGTTCGACTTTTTCGTGTTTCTCTTTTCTTAGCTCGAATTCAGAATCTCTGTTGAAAGAAGGCGAACTCAGGTCGGAGTCGGAACTTGAAGTGGACGAAGATGCTGGTGAAGCGGATCTAGGCAGTGGAACTTCTCCGTCGGGATATTTAAGTTCAGAAGGCGGTTTATATATGCTTTCGGCATCAATGTTTGAGGAAAACGTCATACTTTGTGCGGATGCCTTTCTTTGGTCGTGATAGGATAAATACCCGGGTGACAAATCGGATGAAGCCATTTCGGACACAAAATCGCTTAAAGATGAGTAACTAGAACTGGTACTTTCGCCTTCCTCCGAATCTGATCCGCTCTCGTCCGTAGGTTGGCTTTCTTGTGCTTGAATGCTCCGCAATGCCCCTGCAAGTGTAAATTATTTTCCATAAAAATCTATTTAAAAAACAACGGATACTTGGTATGAAATGATTGATATTGACACCTTCTACCACCAGATAGTTTAGTAACTAAATATTGTAATTTAATTTTATTAGAGAAGATATAAAAAACGCTACAGTACAAAATTCATCACAGAACTTCAATACGCTGATAACTGCGCTCTAGTTGCAAAAAACGTTATAACAATTACAAGAAATGCTGAACAAATTTACCTGGGCATTACGAGGCTATGGACCATAAGTAAAAGCTTCGTAAAAACATGGATAAATCTAAAATCATGTGTACCATACCCCGGAAGATTACAACAATGCTGTAAAAATCGGAGAACAGCATGCTGTAAGAATAGGAATATGAAGCAGAATACAATTACCTTGCAGTTTGATTTTAGAAAAAGCCAATATCATAACAATAATAATCCCCACCGTGTTATATGAAAGCGAAAGGTGGGTGCCGTACCGCCGCCGCCGGTGCGGCGCGGCGCCGGGCACACGGACGCATTAAATAAGTTGCAGCAGAGGCATCTTAGACCACTGTTAAGAATCAAATGGTACCATCATGTCTCAAACGAATCGGTCCTTGAAAAAGCTAGTTGCGAGAGCGCTGAAGTCATGATTACTAAATCCCGCTTAAGATGAGCTGGATACATGTATGCAGGATGCAAAAAAACCGCCTCCCGAAATGCAGACGGTAAGAGGAAACCGGGTGGACAATCCAAAAAGTACAAGGATATTTTCCACGAATACGTTAAAAGTTCACAAAAAGCATGCAAAATTAGTGGGGGGGGAGCAGCGTACAATAGAAAGCAATGGGGGAGAATAATTGTAAATTCAGTTAACAACGACAACCAAAAAATAAAGGGGCAACAAAGTAATGAGATTTTTGAATGTCCAGGATTGCGAAAGAGGGATAACATCACGTATCGAGCTTTTCAGTCATAGAAATGCTCATGAAAGAAAATGCCTTGCGTAACCATCTTCTTATGCCTGTCAAATACTCTTCAGCGAGTAATGGCAGTAAGTACATACAGGGTGGCCCATTAGTGCGAAGAAGTCCAGTATCGTCGTTGTTGTTGAAGATGTTTGGTACAAGATTGCTCTATTAGGCGCGTTCTTACCTACAACGTCAAATCGCGCCGCGCGCCGTCTCAGCAGAAAACATAAAGTAAATGGGTGATGGACGTTGCCATGACGACGTTACGACCAGTGTGAATATGTGTTCGTTGTTGGCGATTTAATAATATTTACCTTGGTGATGGCACTACAGTAATAATCGCGCCTTACAGGGCATTTAACCACGGCCCATTTATTAAAAACCAACCCAAACAAAACCAACCAACAATTTACATTAAACTATTTCTTTACCCTTGTCTTTTACACAAATAACTACAGAGGAACAGAGTTTCTGTTTTTTTCTGTTAACTGACTACAAGTTCAATTGCCATTCTACGTATTATGCTCGTCTGATGACAAGCAATAATAAATACAATTTTACAGAAATTGGTAGAGATGATAACAACAGTAGCCTGATAATGATCTGACAATTGTTTCTTTTTTTGATCAATATTCTGGTTCGCTAAAATACATTATCATATTCTTATATCACGGTACTAATATTTGTACCAGTTTAATTTACTATAACTTAAAAAGTTTATACTGTATAACTTACTCACTTATACAGTATAAATTTTTTAAAAATATAACTTAACACTTATACAAAAAAATATTATACATTATAATATAATTATGAAAACATAATTAAAATTAAATGCTCATATTAAAATTTAAAACTTCAAGTCATTTTGAAAAAAAAACATTGAAACTGAAATTCCCTAATAAACTATTTTGAACAGAACGTGACAATAAAGGTCCTTTATTACCCTTGACTGCAGTCAGAGAAGTAACTTTGATTAATAAACACATTACACCACTTTCAAAGTTATTTCTACGTTAGTTTTTATTAAATTCTGTGATTATTAGTTTGTGCATTAATAGCACCCTCTTACTTGTTATTACCACTTATGGCGTTGTAAGATGTACATCATTAAATAAATAAATAACCCATAATAACGCTTAGAATAATCTTCATAATGGACTAGTTTTTGCCAATATGTTATAAGTAAAATAAGCTCTAAAACAAATAAATCAATTAGTTACTAAAATGTTAGTTGTTAAATTAATAATAAACCGTAAAAATCTTTAAAAAATTATATAATAAATATATTGTTTGTCACTTTTAAATTAAGATTCATCTCATAAATCCATCACAACTTGGCAGCGCTGTCGCCATCGCTTGTCACTCAAAGTTGATCACGTGCATCGGAAATTATTCTGCGATTGCCATAGAGGTAAATTGTGTCTAATGAACTTATTTTGATTCCAAAAATACGTAGTAGTTCTATGTCCACGGAATATTGGGACACCCTCTATAAATATAAATATTTACCTTTTCAAACTTTTTTGGTCAATATTCTGGTTCGCTAAAATATATTATCATATTCTTATATCACGGTACTAATATTTGTACCAGTTTAATTTACTATAACTTAAAAAGTTTATACTGTATAACTTACTCACTTATATCATTAAACTATGCTTATATAGTAAAAACTTTTTAAAAATATAACTTAACACTTATACAAAAATAAATTATTATATATTATATTATAATATAATTACGAAAAGATAATTAAAAATGCTCATGTTAAAATTTAAAACTTTAAGAAAAATAATAATTTAAAACATTTTGAAAAAAAAACATTGAAACTGGGACAAATATACGAGATTTGATGTGTAAAGGCATGAAAAAATACATAGCGCCAGAGTTTGTTGCGAAATGATGATCGATGGCATTTCATTTGGCAAATGACTTTTTTATTCGATATACCGTAATATCGACATTAAGTTTTTATACAAAACAATATCTTACCATTTAATGAGCTCCCATCATCCCATACAATGAATCTAATCGGTTCTAAAGTATGAAGAAACCATTTGGCCTTATCTCCAACTAAAGCAGGATCTAGCACTCCAGTATGAACTCTTTGGAAAGCTACATTAGTCGGAGTTAAGGACCATTCTGCCAGAAATTCGACCGCCTGCGTTCTAGCAAATTTATTTAAAAATTGCGATGCTCTTGGTCTTGACCGCAAGAAGCTATTTATTTGAAAGGCGACTACTGGCCGAGGATATAATCGTAGTGTTCTCGTATGTTCCGTAAAGTTGGCTAGAAGGTTTTGTGAGTTGAAAAAACGAACCTGAAATTATTATTTGCCATTAGAAAAAAATAGTTTTCTAATGAAAAAATTACTTTAGGATTCCATTAAATTCATTTTTAATAGAATAATATATATATATATATATATATATCGTTTTAATTGATACATACATAATATTTCAAAGGAATAATATATACTATAAAGAATTCGGTAATTCATTGTGCCACTGGACCTATGGTGAACGATAAAAGCAAAGATATAAGCGAAGCAACAACATAATTTTACTGTATATAAATATAAATATTTGCCTTTTCAAACTAATTAAGATAAACCAGTTAATCGAATTCATATATTTAAATTATGTTCAACTAATAAAACATTGTATTTAAACTTAAATTGTCTTTATTTTAATAATGTAGTACAAATTGATCATTATAATAACTAAGTCGTTGGTTACACAAAACTAGATCATCGTACAGCAAAGCAAAACCTGTGCAAAGTACAGAGACTGGTATGCCTCTGCATCACATATGCCATGAGAACATGCCCAAGAGCAGCAATGGAGGTCATCCTAGACCTAACACATATCGTCGGTAGTTATGCCAATGCAACAGTCATTAGAATGGTCATTGACGGCACTGGGAGAGTTTTCAGGAGGCTTTGAACACCCTCAAAAAGAAAATTCCGCTTCTCCAACTCCCAGTGGATGAGATACCAAGAATTTACAACTTTGAGAAACACCTCACTATAGTACTGAGTAGTAAAAAGGATTGGAAGGGAGAAACGTTTGTTCAGCATGTAGAAAACTATACCATAAAGTGGTATACTGATGCTTCCAAAAACCAAACATAGGGATAGGGATAGGAGAAATTTGGGCCGAAAATTAAATACTCCAAATCAATAGGCACCCAACATCCTTCAAGCAGAAATCTGCGCTATCGAAAGATGCGTACAATTTATCTTAGATAGGAACTATCGAAAACAGGAAATAGCCATCTTATCCGATAGTCAAGCAGCACTAAACGCGATCAACTCAATAACCATCTATATTCAAAGTTGGTCAAAGAATGCCTAGAGAAGCTGAACAAATTAGGCAAAACAATTTATTAACCAGTCTTCCTACTCTGGGTGCCCGCTCAACAAGGGATAGAATGAAACAGTAAATGATCTAGCTAGAAAAGGAGCGAAGACTCCACTAACTAGACCAACACCGTTCTGTTTTCTAAGAGGAAACCAACTGAAAGCGGAACTGAAGAACCTGGAAAAAGAATGGGAGTCCTCAAACGGGATTTAAGACGCTCGAAGAAGTTCCTCAGAACTTACGACCAGGAAAAATCAAAGATTTTCCTTGATTTAAGTAAAAACAATCTTAGGATTGTCACGGGGTTTCTAACAGGACATTGCTTCCACGACGAACACCTCGGTAGGCTGAACCTGAGAAACAATGGCGAATATAGATTCTGTGGGGAAAATGGGGAAACACCAGAACACCCTATCACTGAGTGCGCCGAGACGACGACCGTTCGGGCCATGAACTCTGGTACATCTGATGTCGAGGATGGAGAGCTGGCCTCTGTGGAGCCATCTCAGACACTGGCTTTTGCTAAAGCCCTGAGACTGTATGATGAATTATAACTCGTTATAACTCAAGAAAGGGGAATACACAATAGAGATCTGTAAGGTTGCGCTGATTAAATCCGCTCCTAAACATTCTACATTCTACTAAATCGTTTTGAAGTTGCTGCAAACTTTTGTGTGTTTGAATGTTGTAAATAATGATAGTTAGTATGGATTCTAAAAGAAGATGGCCGAACAGGTCGTTTAACAATCATGGGGCACATTAGTTGATGGAGGAGATTGAACTACCGAAATCTTAAAGGGTAATTATTTTTTATATGGTAATATTATGAAAATAATGCACTTAACTTACCATTGCAACTCGCGTAGCTACGTCAACGGAATCCACATCGTTGCCATATATGAAAGGATTGAATCCTTGCTGAACTGTCGGCGAAAATATTCTAGGTGTAGCGGGTGGTAAAGGTGATTGTGGCGTCAATGAAAAACGTTGATTAGGTACAATCGGCGATACATCAGGTGTTTTAGATGGCGCCGAGGTAATTCTAAATTGATCAACAAATTTTAGTATGTACATTATATTCAAACATTCTACTGTCATATATCATGGAATTTATATTTCTCCTACACTAATTATTATAATTCAATAAGCGCGCTACCTCCTTACCTCGTACTATATCAATGTTTCCCAAATTTATATATAGCGCGACCCCTTTTGTTATCACAACCCCCTTTTGTTTACAACCTTAATATAATTACAGCCACAGATAAAATTAAGGAGTTTATAAAAAATCTTGATTTATCGTCGATGTCTCTTGGCAAAAAGCAGCATGATTCACTGAAGTGAATTCAGAAAAGTATGGAAGATGTATCCAATTCCAAACAAAGCTAAAAATTTTTGACGGCATGCCTGTCTTTGCTCAATTCTACTCAATAACGTGTTATTTCCCCAAAGAAAATAGTCACTTTAGTTGCAGATATAAAATGAAACCGTTTTTAGCCAATTCCTTCCACCATATGGAAATATCAATAAACATGAAAGGAAAACTTCAAATATCAACCAACAATTTAGATCAAAAGGATGCAGTAATAATGATATAGTTAGAAAATGAAGTGAAAAACTGTTAGTTTTTCATTAGTAACATCATATTTATGTAAGTTAAGTGTCTCGTCTGTGACCTATGACTGCTATTAAAACAATAGTGAAGCAGAGGGAGATGGCCGATTCTGCGCCAGCCACAAGGGCTAATAAACAAGAATAAGAAACAACCGCTTTAAAACAGAAATAAACCGATTTAAACGAGAAAAAAAACAGACCTGTTTTAATAATTTTAGCGGTTGTTTTCTTGTGTTGTTTCTTGTTTATTCTTGTTTGTTAGCCTGTTTTACATGTTCCTAGTTGATTTACGTCACTTCCAGCTCATAGCACGTTGTGGCTGGCGCAGAATCGTCCATCCCCTATACTTAGTGAGAAATATTCTAGTATATCAAAACGATATAATTGTGTATCTCATTTGGGATACTGCACGAAGCCTATATTTGATAGATTAGTTAAATGAAACAGGTGCATAGGTCTCACATTAACATTATAATATTTCACTTTATTTTTCTATTTTATTTCTACTGATTTGTTAATATCGAGTTTTATGTTTCGTTTTGGAATTGATCGTAAATTTTTATTTACGTCGTATCCTATATTAAGGTAATGTAAAATTAACGTATATTGAGTTAATGTAAAAAAATGTCGCAGTTTGGCTATCTAAATTAAAGCTATCTCTAGCATACTGTTCGTGACTAGGAAGTAAAATGGGTAAGCGGTAATTCAAATTGAAAATGGATCCAAAGCAGTCTCACCGAAACAATAAAATTATAACTTACCCCAGTGTATTCGGAGATGTCGAAAGGCTTTCTCTCCGTGATGGCTGGAGCTGAGCGTTATTACTGCTTGGCGTGGATAAACTAGAGATTGCCTAAATAATACACAAATATTAATAACATTTATTTCATGAAACAGTTTTACATCGAAAAAAGTCAATGCACTTTTAATATTTTCACTACGCAAAAACTAAAAATCAGTATGTAGCAGCTTTACGAAAAATAATAACTCTCTCAAAGATTTTCTACAAATAAACTGAATAAAAAAGAGATCAAAATAATGTTAATTTTCACAAAAATTTCTACATAACTGTTGTGTAAAATACCTACTCACAATATACTACGACCAATATAATCAATTTTTATCATTAAAGCTTCAGTTTGTACAAACTTAAAATATTACAAAATTAGATTGCAAAATTAAATAGGCCTACGTTAAATCTATTGTTACTTTTATCTAGCTTGTTTACTAAAATATAAAATAATGCATACATCTTTTTTTTAATATTAAATATCAATTATTTTTTAGTTCATTATGTGAATATAAAAATTGGCTATATAGAGACTAATAATATAAGACTAATAATCTTTGCAATATTATATTTTATGGATTTAAGATTGATTTTCACTATACATTCCGTTTCCGTCCCATATCTGTTCCCTATAATTTGATTACATTCACACCACGGGGATGTCACTTGTATGGGAAAACAGGCAACAGTCAAATTTAAACGTGCCAGGACCAACGACAAAGAAAGCAACATCTGCCAGGCATTAGCTTTGTTTGTCACTCACATTGCTTAAATCATGATACCGCGGCCATTTTGCCAACAAAGAAGCTGGCCGGGCTGTCCTGGCAAGTGATTTAAAACAATTTTGCTTTTTTACAATATTAAATTACCATTTGGATGTATTTAATGCGATTATTCAGTTAACTGGTAAGTCAGAAATTACACACAAATACTTTATTCGTAAATACAACTAAGATGTAAACGTATTTTTGTATTTTTAGATTTCAACTTTTGCAAAGACCCGCCGATAGAACTTGCCTGGCAGCGTACCTGTTTAACTAAACGTATTATTTCCTGATAATAATATCAAAACACGTAAGTACCTCTATAATTTATGATGAAAAATGATTTTGATTATGTTTTATATTATTTAAATACTTTCTAACCTCAAATAATAGTAAGATCCTTGTTTATATCGCACAGCCCGTTCAAAACTGTATTGTCTTCAAAAATTTTTTTCAAAACAAACCATTATTACAAAAACAATGCCCTTTTAATCTGACTTATACCTCAGAAGGATGCCAGTAAAATTTTATTAAATCAACATTATGTTATTTGGCCATTAATATGCAAAAAGGAGCATATTGCCTTAACTTAAATTTTTTTTTACTTCTCCTGACAATGTTCTCTATATTCTCTATTTTGAGTTAGTAAACTTTTGAACGGGATGTGCGATATATAAAATACATAATATATCCAAGGGTATGATGTGATAAAATTGTTTTTTGATGCATTTTTTGGTTGTTTATGCACGTTGGCTTGGTTTATGTTTTATTCAGCTTATATTTATTTGGTATAACAGTTTTTTTTGCCTTTGGAATGGCATGCATTGAGGCTAGATAGTGTTTCATTAGATCATTAAAGGAATTTAAATTAGCATATATTTTTTGTCATATTAGTGTGTTATCATGATACAGGTAGTTGTATCATAGTGCCTTATGCATGTTATTTACCTATTATATACTTATGTAATGTATTATCAGTAAATAGATGATAACATACTACTAAAATGTCTTTTTAATAGTATGTTTATCTTTCCAATTCACTAGTTATTTGCAAAATGTATTTTGAACTAATTTAAGTCATTAATTTTTCATCTTTCTTTTTCAGGTTCCGGGATATTCTTTTTCATTGTTAAAAAAATATATATATTTCAATATTATTGTAGTATAAATCGCAGTTCTAAAAAATAAATGATATTGTTTACTAATGTGTAATTTATTTACTATGAATTTTCTCTGAAAATAGTAAGTCTTTAATAATATCATTGATTTGCTGTGTAAAGTTAATAGACATATTTTTAATACATTAAATTATATTAAAGTAATAAAAAATATGTTTATTAACTTTAAACAGTAAGTCAGTGATACTTATAAAATTTTTTTTTTTAAATTTCCCCTCTTTTAAGCCCCGCCCCTCCAATTCCCCTCAATTTAGCTAGTACTGCCAGGCGACACCAGGTGGCGTCTGTTTCCATTTTTTAACATGAAGTTAGCATTTCTTTAATGTACCTATTCTCTGATTCACACTATTAAACGTAACCATGGAAACGATAAGGAAACGGGACGGATAATGTGCATTGTCCCATCTCTCTGGTCCCATTCATTAAACGTAAAGGAAACGGAAAGTAGTGGATATTGAAGGTATAGTGAGAAGCAACCTTAAATAATAAAATATAATATTGCCAAGGCTATTAGTCCTTAGCGTTTCTTGAAGACCCAGATTACTACAGAATACATTACAGAATAAAAATAATTACAAAGACATTGTAAAATTATAATGTAACATAAAATTAATTTTGAGTATACACGGTGCATGCAACACCATTTTTATTTATTTTTAGTGAAATATAACATATAACCTGTATATGTTAAATGTTATATACCTAAAACTAGTAGTTTTTGTAATATTTCAATATTTGCTTTAAAATCATATATACCCACTGCATAATACGACATAAACAATAGCAGAAATTAGATATATCGCAGATCACAGAATCGTTACTATTCCTTGCATACTGGCGAACTTTAGGCGTTTTTCACATGGTGCTGATTATTGTATTAAAAGAATTATATGGAATATAATCATAAACATACGTTTTATTTTTATGCCAATGTAGTAAGTATATCAATGAAAACAGTATATACCAAGTTGTTAACTGGACAGTTACTATATAGGAGAACAGAATGGTAACACTGCCTATTGAGAACGCATGCACTTATAGGGTTTTCTGCCGACTAGTCCTGTCGCGTCGTCTATCGACGAGCGGGCTGAGGTTGCCATATTTCAATCATAAAGCTCTTGCCGCGAGTAATAAACAAATTAATAACCTGTATATTAGTAAATTAATGAAAAATGGAATATAATATGTGTAAATCTAACATGTCCATATTTTATATTTTAGTAAAAGCAGCTATTCAATGTATATTCAATATAACAACAAAAAATGTGTGAAAATATTTACTCCAGTGCCAACTTGATCCATAAGCTGCATAGCCTTTACAAGGTAGAAAAATTTAAATTAGATAAAACCCATAAAAATTACCATTTTTCAAAGCGTCTTAAACTAAATATTAAGCTACTCCAATTTTAGAAATTAGAACATTTATATACAGGGTAGACAGTTTAACGAGTACTACTATTTGAATCTCCTAAACTGTAAGGAATACAAAGTAAGTTAAATGGAAAAGAAGTTGGGCGCTTATATTATTATCACCATTCTTGAAAAGAAATTCGGGTAAACTCGGATAATCCCTGAAATATCACTAAAAACAAAAAAAAATGAAACTCAGAAGTGCCTTTGTTTCATTAAATATCAAATCATCATTTGTTCTTCCATGGCAACTTGTTTATTACAATTAATTGAATTAACTAATTTTTTGCTATCAGTATGAAACGAGGTATGAAATCCAATAAGCGTCCATAAGAAAATCAAAAATTGATGGAGAAACACGAAAATCTAGTGACCTTAGTAAATTTTTGACACTTTTTTAAAAAGGTGTCAAACGTGTGTAAAAACTTATAGCTATCACTATTAAAACTTATTACAAGAGGAAACAGCTTTCCCGGCATTCTTTCTTTCTATTTAACAGATTTTGTATTCCTTATTATTTAGAAGATCCCAATAGTAAGAGTCGTAAAAGGTGATCACCCTGTATACTATAAATAGGCAACTTAAGTCTAAAATCAAAGGCATTTAGATATATTATAATGCATTTCACATACAGTTTTTTTATTTCTAAAATGGAGCGACAATTATAATATACCTACTGAAATAAAGTATAACTTCTTACCTGTTTTAAATGATTTTTTAATATTGTACCTTCCGGTTCTGGCAAAGGTGGAATTTCAATATTTGAAAGGAGTTTGTTGGAATCCAAATCAACTAGACATACATCATCTGGCAATCTGTAAAATGTATAATTTCTTATATTAATTATTCCTAAGATATTTAGTACAATTCAAATAGTAGGGAATTCATTGCATCATTTCCAAAATGTTTTAATTAGAAAAGACTGGTATAATTAGTACACTAGATAATCAAATTTATAAAGAACTATAACAATGTATTATTACTAATACAGGATAGCGCGGAGGCTCCAAGGAGAATGGTAGTTTGTATTGAAGTTAAATTTCGGGATCGTATGTATATTAATTGATATATCTATAAAGTTTATCTTATAGAGTTTATCTAGATTTTAGAAATAATAAGGATCTACTTTGTCTAGACGATCTACTACTAGATCTAGATGTCTTTATTTGTTTTCTTGATTACCAAAGAGCATTCGATAATATCAAGCATGATATACTTGTGGAACGACTACGGGAAATCGGGGTAGATGAGAAGGACCCATATGCAATCTTGCACGGATCATAAAACAACTATATTGGAACCAGACAGCGAAAATAAATGACACACTCTCGACCGAAACCTTTGAAGTAACCAAAGGAGTTTAAATATCTATTTATTGTAAAATAATTTCAACAATTTTTCAAGCTTTTCTTTTTCATTGGCTAGTATTTATTTTTTAAAAGATGCATACGTTTTTCTATACTTTGTGTGACAATCATTTGTTTCACAACAGAGCGTGGTAAATCATAGCCTGCAATATTATGACAAACAAACAAGAATGAAATATGGAATTAGTTAGTAGACGTGGAAGGTGTTCCGACTAAATAAAGAATATCTTATCATGTTTCAACTCTTGTTATTTTCAAGCTTTGTAGCATTTTCTTTTGCGCCGCGCAGATAAATGTAATTAAATTTACATTAATTATCTCTGGCACCATCTACTAGCTATTCATTTAATTATTCTTCGTTTCCTTAATAAAATGGAAGTAGACTGTTTCGGCCTTTATTATTGTTAGACATATTGTTTTGCATTTTTTGAGAAGTGCCACCAAAATGTATTTTCTTCGTTATGAGTGGATGATATTTGCATGGTAATTTTAAAATTATATTTTAAGAAGCAAATATTTTAGTATTTTTTGGAGTATGTTACGGGTGAAGAACAACAGTACGGTAGATTCCTGTAGTATATGATGATTACGTTTTATTTTGTAATATTGACTTCTAAATGTAAAATTTTGCTCAAAGCCAAACTCGATTAAATTATAGCAATATAATATATACAATATAGTCATTTTGATATGTTATTCTTATAATACCTGAATGAGTTAGGTTCCGTTATCTTTTTTATATATATTTTATATTATCGTTTGTAGCATGAATTGTTGAAATAATGGACATGAACACAATGACCTTAATATATTAGCAATTATCATCATCATCATCATCATTTTCAGCTTATTCAACCCTTTCTAATTATGTATATTTTTATACTCATATATTTATATACTTTCTTTGTAGTTGGGCCCGTTGCTATCTATTGTTGGCTATGCGAAAGAATAAGTATTCCATCCCATCCACTTTTCTTGTTTTAATTAGAATTGAATCTATAAAATATTTTTTTAACTGTCGAGGCTCTAAACTTTTACTACGTGTTTCTAAATTGGACTTAATACATATCAAAATGAGCCCAAAAATTAGATTATATATTTTAATATTTATTTATTATAAAATAATTTCAAAAATTTTCCAAGCATTTCTTTTTCATTGGCTAGTATGTTTTATAGAAAATGTATACATTTTTCTTTACTTTGGGTAACATTATTTGTTTCAGAACAAAGCGTCCTGAATCATAACCTGTAATATTATGACAAAAAAACAAGAATGAAATAGGAAATTTCTTAATAGACTTGGAAGGTGTTCCTACTCAATAAAGAATCGTTTATCACGTTATAACTCTTATTTCCAAGCTCTGTAGATTTTTCTTTTGTTCCGCGCACAGCACCACTCCTTTATCTTGTTCACTATTATATCTGAACATTGTACTTTTATATATTATATATATTTGTACCAAGTACTATATTCTTTTACAATGTGTGGTTGCAAAGCATCCATTTTATATTTTTTTCGGATAAATAAGCTTGTTATAAATGTTTTGAATACGAAGCGATCATGAAAAATGGACATGCTATTAAAATATTAGCAATCATCATCATCATTTTCAGATTATTCAACCATTTCCAATTATAGTGTAGCCTCCATCAGATATTTATATATATTATTTGTAGTTGGGCCCATTGTCGGCTATTGTTGGTTGTGCGGGCCCATGTTATCCTTGCTAATTTCCTGACTCTGTGGATGGCATCTATTACCTGGGCGCTTTCGTCGTATATAACAATATCAACACATATCTAATTTAGTTTGTTTAATGTGTTTTCCTAACTTAATAAACTTTAATTTCAGCATTCTATAAATAATTAGTCACAGTAATTAGTTATATATTTTGAACATTAGGCTTGTATCTGGAACCAATCTTGTATCTGGAACCAAACAACTCTGGCGACGATAGTAAAAATGACTGCCCTATTTGTAACACATTATCTAAAATGTAATTTTGAGATTAATATAAAATTTAATTGATGTAAGCTTATTTCGAATGATACGCTGAACTCCTTATAAAAATCAATCAAATGACAGTGTGTAAAGCAATTTTTTTATCATATACACCTTAAGTCTACTTAACCTAATACTTATTATAAAAAACGGTTTATAATATATTCTTAAATATTAATATAGATACTCTAAAAGAGTATAATTAATAAGGTAAAAAATTGTTCGCCCCCCCCCCATTAATGTACTTACTTAAAATTCTTCTTGTACATAAGAAAGCTAACAGGTAATCCAATAACAAACGGAGTTGGCGCTAACAGTAGCTGAAAACAAGATGTTAATATGTCGTTAAATATTTTTATTAACGTATCCACTAAATATATTACAAAGAATGTATCATAATTACTATGTTTTGTTTTTTTATTTATTTTTATTATCAATTTAGTATTTTCTGGCATGCCATTAAAACTATAATCAGTCATAGGTGTATATATCTTCATAATTAATGGTATATTTTTACTGCAAACCTTTAAAACTACAATAAAATATTATAGAATTAATTATATAGCGTGTTTCAAATAACATGTGATAAGATTCCTCACGTAAAAATAAGATTTATTTTTTATATACACATAGGTTTTTTTTTATCCACATTCTGCTTTATTTTGTAGCTACAGGGGGTTATACTCTTATTTTTTTAGAATTATTATGATTTTCTTCCAAGTGCTTTTAGTCATTAGACTGAAATTTTGAAGGTATAAGTTATTATAAGTGCTACTCATTTTAATACTAAAAAAGAGTTGACAGATTTACCAGGGCCGTGCATATGGGTTATCACTGAAATAATTTTTCTTCTCGTGCCAGCAAAAGATCGTGTGTAGGCCGTCTAATTCCGATTAAAAGTTGTACCTTGATAATTTATCTTTTTCGATCTCTTGATGAGTTAAACCTAATGCAATAATTAAATGCAATTTGTTAATCAGAATTAACAAAATTGAAATAAAAATCAAATTAATATCTTTTTTATTTAATCCAATTTATTATTAACTACAAACGCAAATTAACCAACTAAATACAGCCAGCAATAAAGTAGGTCACAAAATGCATTAAGCAAAAACTAAAGTTATGTACAACGAACTAGTAGATAGAAAAGACATTCTAATAAATAACATAAAACTGGAAATAGTAGAGGAATACGTATATTTGGGACAATTAATACACAGCTCGGGATCTCTACTAGCAGAAATCAACCGAAGAATTAAGTTAGCATGGAGTTCTTATGGAAGAAACTCAATCTTATTCTGTCTTCTATTCAAATCTAGAATGCCACTTTATATAAAGAAGAAAACATTCGACCAATAAATAAATAAATGCCTTTATTGTCAAAAAAATTTACAATTTGTAGACAAAGGTAAACTAAACAAACAAAAGACAATACAAAACATTATACAAATAACATTGTCAGTCTTATTGTTTTAAATAAACATTTATAAATGTTTACAATGTCAAAGAATAAAAATAAAAAAATAAGAATAACATTCAAAAATATTTAGTTAGTTTATGGTAAATATCAATGACCTCTAAATAAATTTATTTCGATGTCATTGGTAAATATAGCAATAGCAAACATTAGACCAGTGTTTACAAGATCAAATTCGATTATCAAAATATAAGTCATTTACGGCGTAGAAAGCCTTGTTTAGTAAATAAGATTTCAATGCTTTGCGAAATGAAGAAAATGATGTTATGGATTTGATTTCAAATGGCAGGTGATGGTGAATTTTTTTCGAGTTGTATAATATTGAACTTTTAACTAACTCTGAGCGTGGGGTAGGTACATAAAGATCTTGCTCCGCGTTCCTGAGTGGAGAAGTGTGAGATGGCCTTTCTTGAGAAGCTGATACATGCTTACGTATTAGGCGAACGGATTCAAATATAAATAAGGAAGGAAGAGTTAATATTTTTAATTTTTTAAAAAAGTCCTGGCAATGAGTTCTGCCTTTTAGTCCCAGTGAATATCGAACAGCTCTCTTTTGGAGCTAGAAAATGCGGTCAAATTGAGTCGCACAACACGTACCCCAGAATGGAAGGGCATATCTGAGGTGCGACTCAAAAAGTGCATAATAAACAGTTCTAGCCACTGACAAGTTAAGCTCCTTAGAAACAGATCTTAATGCAAAACAGGCAGATCTTAATTTTTTCGACTAAGCGTCGATATGCATGCCCATTTCAGAGAATTGTCTACAACAAGCCCTAAGAATTTTACAGATTTTACTACGTCAATGGTGGTGTTGTTGAGTACAAAAGGCTGCAGCGAGTTTTTATACGACAAAGCTATAGTTTTAGAAATGTTGAGACTCAGGAGGTTCGAATCGCACCAAGATTTAATGGTGATTAAGTCATTTGATATAATCCTATGAAGTACCGTGACGTCCTTGTTGCTCCAAGTGAAGGAAATCGTCCGCAAAAAGACATATTTTAACACTGATGTTTATGTTAGCAATGTCGTTAATAAAAAGAAGAAACAAAATAGGGCCTAGTACTGAGCCTCGTGGTACTCCACATTCTATCGGCTTGCTAGAAGACAACGTGGTATCCACCCTCACAAGTTGACTTAAACCATTCGAGAGATGTTTAATTTATTTTGTTATTACCAATGTGTACTACAAGTCCTGACCTATGCATGCAAAACCTGAACTCTTAAAACGGACATTATAAAAAAATGCAGGTCGCACAACACTCAATGGAACGAAATATGCTGAGAATAACCAAGAAAGACCGTAAAAGAATAGAGTGAATACCACAAAAGACAGATGTCATTTACAGAATCAAATACCTCAAGTGGCAATGGGCAGGACACCTGGCAAGAAGGATGGACAGCAGATGGACCACAAAAATTACAGCATGGTACCCACGAGGAATTAAGAGACCTATAAGAACACCAAACCTGAGATGGGACCATGATATTAGGAAATTAGCAGGGATAATTTTTGCATAACCGCATAACCAACAATAGACAACAATGAACCCATCTACAAAGAGAGTATCTAAATATATGAGGGAGGCTACACCATAATTGGAAATGGTTGAATAAGCTGAGAATGATGAATGATGAATGATGAATGATGAATGATAATAATTAATAAATTTTTCGAAAATTTATAACACTGATGTTTAGTACTACTACAGCAAATTGAAAAAAAAAATGGTACTTAAAATAATACTACTAGTAGATAGCAAAGGCATTCTAATAAATAACACAAAACTGGAAATAGTAGAAGAATACATATATTTTTGACAACTAATACACAGCTCGGGAACTTTACTACCAGAAATCAACCATTTTAACACCGATGTTCAGTGCTAATACAGCAAATGGAAAAAAATAGTATTAAAGATAATTACAAAAGACCATGCGTTATCCGCACCTATGCTAATGGGCCCTTGTTTTAATATATTTTATGAGGGATATATAAGTACTTATTTAACACTTAACGGCCAGTTAACGGCATTATTTTTTTTAATCTTTTTAGATTTGATTTAGGGCAGATTAATAAAGTTGCTTTTGTCTCATCAAGGAGATCGAAATCGACAAAATATCAAGAGACGGCTTTTAATCGGCATTAAACGGTCTACACAATTTTGGTAACGAGAAAAAAAAATCAGTAGCGCCTCATGTTTCATTTAGAAAAATATTCTAGTGTTAACCCATATGCACGTGCCTGGTAAATTTGTCGATAATTTTTTAGCGTTAAAATAAGTTAGAGTAATTTTACAATTTATAGTAATTTTTACACTTAAAAGTTTATTGGAATCGCTAAAAGCACTTGGAAGAAAAATATAAATAAATCGGAAAAAAATTAAGTCTTTAACTCCATATACGTAGTAAACAAAGTATAATCGGACATATATTGATATAAATTAATTCTGATTTTTAAGCAAGGACTCTCCCCACGAGAAATGGTACATGTTTTTTAAATACGCTATATTTTCAGATTCGTATATAAATATATAATTTTTGCAGGACAACCTAACAGCATAAATTAAAATCATAAATTAAAATCAAATATCTATTTTATTCTGAAACCAAAGTAAATTAAATTACCTGCTCAGCACAACTCATACAGGTCGGTAACAAAGGAATGACGGGAAACATATACTCTAAAGGATATATCATTGTTACAAAAGCCATCACAGACATGGAAAGGGCGTTGTAGTCTCGCGATTGGAATACAACCTTATTTTCCAGAAGTATTATCGTCAGCACTTTTAAACAAGTTTCAACACCTGAAAAATATAAATATATAATATTTATATAAAATATAAGGTTCATTATGTCATATAAAATAATAATTTATTTTATTTGGCATGCAATCACCGCGACCGGTACGAAAAACGGAAACCTTAAATTTTTTATGTATTTTAAAGTTTAATATATTGTGTTCTAGTGGGCAGATTGTGACAATTTTTTAAGCATTTTGTAGCTAAATTATTTAATTCTTTAGTATCTCTTTCTAAATTAAAAATGGAAGTTCGATCTGTCAATTATACGAGGGAAAACAAAATGTTGATATTTTGGTCAAAGTGTAAAACACCCTGTGGAATATTTTAACAAAGTTATATACGAAAAAACATTAGTGTCTTCTTCAAAAGCGAATATCTCCAAAAAAAAATAAAGCTATTAAGATGAATCAAAAAACAAACTATTGAGGAAAGATACACCTAGATGGTAAAGTGTATATTTTTAAGTTCCTTGCTTAGTTAACGTACTCCACAGGGTGTTCCAAAATATCAATATTTTTTTCCCTCGTATAATTGACAGATGGTAACTTTCATTTTTAATTTAGAAACAGACATTAAGAAGTCAAATAATATAGCTTCAAATTTTTTAAAATCGGTCTACTAGAGCACAATATACCGGGGGTATTTGACTTAGAGATAATAATGTATTATTTTATCTGTCAGGACTATTTCGGTCATAGACAATGTAAATAAATTTAGTGTTGAGAATAATAACTTTATAAAATATTATGTGGTTTAATAATTTGAGAAATTTATATTGTTCGATTAATCGTAGTGAACATTATGTGTGCTGTGATTAAATATAATTTTTTGGATATTAATATTCGACACTGTTTTTGTTATGACATAACACTGATGAAGGTTATAATGTTAGCCGAAATGTTTGTTTCTTTAAAACCAAATAAAGATACTTAAATCAAATGAAAACCTAGTCAGCGTTTCCTGAACCTAAAACCTAAGAAAATCAAACTTTAGGATAATAATATATTTTTGTAATATCTTTATATTATTTATTTTATTTATAGATATTCATTCATTCAGGCTCACCCTTATAATTGTTATATTTTTTTAGTTAAAAAACCGAGATCTTGTATTAGTATACGACATAAATCAGCATTGATTGACGTACTCAACTCGTTTCGATCACTTATTTCACCGAAAATGACAAGAACTTTTGATTTTTAAATGGTTTCCCTGTAGTTTTTTACTTAATTTTATAGAAAATGACTTTCTGTATTGAATGACATATCGTATGTCAACTTTTGACATTTTCGCTTAAAATATAATTTAAATTTCAATTTAGAGTGCCATGGCTATGTTCAAACTACTCATTTTTAATCAAGGAGCCTTGAAAAAATAGATTTGATTGCCTAATATTTTTGATGTCTGTTCCAAGCCGATTAAAAGATGCCCAAATCGTATTTTTAATCAAAACTTAATTTTTAAAATGCAAGAAAGGTTACGTTTTCTTATGTATAATTTGGTTCCACATACTTGGTATTTTGAGTGAAATTGTAGATATGAACAGGGCACTCTAACTAGATTTAAATTAAAGTACTTTTTTCTTATGCGAAAATGACAAAAGTTGATAAGAGATGTCATTCTTTTCTATAGAATATAGTAAAACAAATGCCGTGAGTACCATTTAAAAGTCAAAAGTTGTTATAATTTTTGTTAAAACAGGAAGTCCTGATTTATGTCATATACTAACATACTAAATCTCGTTTTTGTGTCTGAAAAAATAACAAAATTACAGAGGTGAGCCCCTTATGAAAGAGACCCGGTATATTTCATTAATAAAAAAATGTAACAAATTAATATTTAAATTATAGTTATTTTTTTATTTTATAACCCATTAATGCACAAGGGCGCGATTTTTAAATTCATTGTTGCCAACCATGGATATATTCGCTGCCGCCGTAACTGGAATTTAAATTTCGCGCTGGGGATTCAAGTGGTAGCTCTGCTGTAAAAAATGTCAAGTTGCGGCATTTATTTATTTATTTCCTAACATTGATTCGTCTTGACACTTTAGTTTTGTATTACGAGATTTTGTTTTAAATAAATACTGTTGTGATTCTTTAAGCTTGAAAATGTTTACTTTTACTTTATTAGCAGACCTAGCAGTCTAATGTGAAATTTTACACCACTACATAGTCAGTGTGTAAGATATTAAACATTGTTCAAGAAGATATTCTATTTCAGATAATTAATATTTTTTTAATACTCAAAAACACCTATTCTATTACTTACCTAATAATTCTAAAGGTAAATGTAACGGGAAGTCGACTAAACTAAATCTAGTGTGACTGGGTAAGGCAAAAATAAGAGGCTCGTATACGCTAGGAGATAGAACTTCTACCTCAATCCTAAAAATATATTATTTATCTCTGTTCCTTAGAGCAATGACTATAATAATAAATACTTAGTTTTTCCAGGGATAGGAACTGGGGCAGATAAAAGCTTCAAAATCCACGTCTCAATTTCTCTAACGTCATGAAGCACTATTGACGATGCTGCATCCCCAGCCTGGCCTGTTAGAACACTCCATACGCTATCTCTGAAATAAATTTAGTATATACATCAATTAGCTATACATCAATTAGCTGAAATTTTATTCTAAAAAACTGTATTTATAATTAATATTGAACGCAAAAAGGGACGAACTAAGTTTCTGAGTAGTAATTATTATCTCTTTATATAGAGGGTAATTCCCTTTCGATGGAAAGCGAGACCTTTAAGGAAATCAGAAAAGATTTTCATCGAATTTTGTGTGAGTTTTACGTTAGCCCTGTTTTATTGGTCTAAATTATTCTTAGTATTGCGGGGTTGCCACTTCATGCAAGAAGCACCTATAGTATATCAAACATTATACAACATGTATATTGTTACATTTGCATTGTTCTTAGCGGATAAACCAAGTATCGCAGACTTTTGAAGGTTTAAAAATAATTGGTCCTCCTAGACACCCAACTTTTACTTCTTGGCTCCAAGCACAAAACTACGATACAATAATTTTACCCACAGGCTGAACCGAAGATTACTAAATTAAACAGGTTGCCTCGTAACTTGATATTAGCCGCCATATTGCGCGTCATCGTGTGGTACTCGGCAGTTTTCAGCTTGTTTACAAATAATTTTACATTGTTTTGGCATTTGAGTGCATTATGGAACAGTTTTAGTGGAGATAATATATTTTTTTTTAAGTTTTAGTGTACTTAACGTAATAATTGATGAACTAGATAGTTTTTTAAAATTATTTATCCTTAGCAATAGAGATCATTCCGACCTATAGCAGCCCGCATAATGTTCAGTATTGTTTTTGCTAAGTGATGTATATGTATAATAAATTATTTCGACTTTTTTTTGTTGGGGAGGGAAAAAATCTTGCATAAGACACCCCGAAAGGGTAGTGCCGGATTCCTATCGGCTAAAAAAAACCTCCTCTGCCCTGCCACAGAACCGCATTGGAATCCGCTTTCGCATTTCTTCAATCCGGCCGTTGTCCTTAATCATCTTCTATCAGACTGCATCATCTGGGACTACTTCTATTTATTTTCCATAATATGTCTTATAATCATTGTAACTTTGTCCCAGGCATATTCCCCGCCAACTAAGCTATTTGCTACATTTCCTATGTTGAAAACTTTTGTTTTTACTTTTTTTGTATCTTGCAAATATTGACCTCTAATTTGATCCCATCTAAGGCATTCAAATAAAGTATGTTCTGCGTCATCTTCGGCATGACAATATATACACTGAGGTGTGGTCTTTTTTTTTCGAACAAACAGATATTTACCAAAGCACCCATGACCCGACAACGCTTGCGTTATATAGTAGTCTACTTCTCCGTAGCCTCTAGTAATCCACCTTTCAATGTTCGGGATAAGTTTATATGTCCATCTGCCATGTTTTCCATTTTCCCATTTATTTTGCCACTCAGTAATCACTTTACTTCGAGCTTCTTGCCTTAGCAACCCGCAGTAAGTTGCATGTCTTTCTTTTATTAGAAGCTCTATTGGAGGAATTCCAGCTACAACGCAAGCACCTTCACCAGATATTGTTCTGTATGCACAGCAAACTCTGATCAGTTGTTTTTTATTCTGCGTTATAGTATGCCATGCCGGTACTGCATACAGTAATTGCGAATGTACCACACTTGCCAGAATACGCCTTTTGGAGGGTTTGGGACCCCTGATATTCGGCATGAGACTAGTCAATGCCGATATCGTCTTCTGCGCTTTAACAACAGTTTTGTCAATATGTACCCCGAACGTCAGTTTTGAGTCCAGCCATACACCAAGATACTTAATGGCACTTCTTGGATCAACTAATGTTTGCTCTACATTAAAATATAGTCTCGCTATTTTTCGCTTCGTCGTTAGTAGAACTGCTTCAGTTTTATCAGGTGCAAGTTGAAGGTTTTGCCTCCTTATCCACTTTGTTACTCGCATTTGTCCTGTCCAAATTATTTCGACTAGGTTGCGATATTTTAACATGGTAAAAAGCTAAAACTATTTTTTTCGAATACAAATATTGCTTAAAAATGATAAATGTCAGCAAAATTAGTTAAAAATAAAATAAATATTTTATAGAAGAACAATTTAACTTTTTTAATTGTTAATATTATTAAACATTTTTTTAATAGTTATTTTAAATGCCCCAGCAGTTAACGTGATCGCGCTGTTAATAATTACTGTGATTTGTCCAAAGTTACGAAGCAACCTGTTTAATATAATAACTTTGGGCTGAACCAAATCAGAGTAACGCCAGTAATGGTGAACAAGAAGTGGTCTGAGCCAAAATGGGTGGTTGTAAATATCGTTAACTCACCAGCCCCACTGGTTAGAGAGTAACATATAAAAATTCTATAATTTATGGAATAGTTTAATTAAAAGGTTTTGAAAGTCTATTATCTTTAAATTAAAATTTTAACCTTCCCACAACAACCAAACCAAACAAACCCACAAAATGGCAAACTTTTACTAAGTATGGGCAAAGTTTACAAAATGAGTATTAATAAAATTAATCTGCCTTCAAATAAATATTTAATTTCTTATCGTTCGTATCAAATTTCACCCTTCTCTTTTTTCTGCGTAACAAATAATTTACTGAATTATTAAGGTACGTCTGAAGTTCGTTATTTATTTTGTTGAAACTTTCCCATCATAAAAGGGTAATTTTGTATTTTCGTAAAATATCTACAATATATTTCCAGGAAATTAATATTTTTGCTACTTGTAATTGCATTTTTTATTAATTTAATTCTCTTTAATAATACAGACTGTTCTGAATTACACAGACCATTTTTTAATGTTGGTTCGTCTTAAAACTGTTAGATCGTCTTAATAAACACAGTCGCCACAGTCTAAAATTAAAAGTTGTATACCCTAAATTAATATGTTGGGAATAATAGAACCAAAGTTTAGTGTTTTCTTAGATAGTATAGAGTACAGGAGTACAGGGTGGTCCATTTTCTCGTTTATGAGTAGAAATAAAAAGATAAGGTTATCACATCACTTTGCTAATTTTTTATGCAACTAAAGATGCTACACAGAGTTTTGTTCTAGCCCTCCTATTTCCTGAAATACAGGGCGAATTTGAAAATTTTGATTTTTTTCATTCCCTTGGTTATCCTCTAACTTATCGAAAAGGAGAAAACTGAGTTCTCTAGAGCCATTTACGTAGAATCCAGTGGTTAAATATTCCATGGGTATATTGATAATTAAGGTCTAAATTATAAGAAAATACATTTTCTACGAAAACTTGAAGAGATCGGTAAAAAATTGAATAATATAATTTGATAGACAATTCAATTGTGTATCTGATTCTCATGAAATATACAGGGTGTTCAATTTAAATTAAACAAGTTATTGCCGTTTAAAGCAAGTAATTATTTAAAATAATTTTTTAGTTATTCTAACACAAAATTTAGTAAATAGAAATACTTCAGTACAATACTTGGTTTTAAAAACTTAAATATGCCGAGAGAAATAAAGCATTAAAGTTATTACTGCATTTTGACAAAAATCTAAATATTCCAAAAACGGTAAGATTAAAATGCGGTAAACCTTAATCAAACTTACCTTTATTTTAATCGTAGGAACTAAAAATGTAATAATACACAGGGTGTTCCACTTAAAAAAATACAACTTTCATATTTTTTATTTATTTGGGACACTCTGTATCATGCAAAAATATTTTTAAATTGTAGCTCTCATAGTCCTTCAGCGAACCCAAAACTTACAATTTGTAAAAATCTAATCTTCTAGCTACAATACACCATGTCGTATGTGGTGAACAACCCTGTAAATATACTGAGCGTGGCGTGACATCATACAGCACGCTTGGCCATTTTTTTCAAAACGTTATATTTCCGGCAATATTCAAAGTACGAAAAAAAGAAGAAATAAGAAGAAAAAAAAGAAGAAGAAATAAGTGTCTCTATTTTCCATTGTCTATCAAAATTAATAATATTTTTTTAGGTTCTGTTCTCCATTCCTATCTGTGAGAAACCTTCAAATTTTTAGAAAAGTTGTTATTGCTTGTTCGATCCTGCATTTGATCTCCTGATCGCGATCCCACGTTTGGTTAACCATGCATCCCAAGTATTTAAATTGAGTGACCTATGACATGTGTAATGGCCTCTCCATTTAAGTAAATTCTGGTATTCGGAATGTTGTTTCTGCTAACAACCATCAATTTAGTTTTTCTAGTATTAATATTTAAACCCAGTCTTTGGCTTTCTTCATTGTTAACCTTATGTTACTCCCACGTTATGTATACGAATTTCAGATTTTTACTTGCAATACAAATTACTGATCAGCCTTATATTTTTTCCATCAAGTCCCAAGTCTCTGAGGTATGATATCAGGAGGTTATATTTAACATTATCGGACGCCTTTTCATAGCCTATAAGCACATGATCTTTTCTCTGATCTGAAGACTGAATATGGCTTCTCTAGTACCTAAGCCGTTCTTAAATCCAAATTGACTATCATCACTTACTTCCTCACATTTTTTGTAGTCTTCTGTGCTGCACCCGGAGAAAGACCTTAAGGAAGTGGCTCATGAGACTAATAAGATGATACTCTTTACACGAAATTGCGTTACTTGACTTGGATAACATGATAAACGTAGAACGAAGCCAGTCTTCAGGGATGTTATTGAAAAGATGTACTATAGTTCTTAAGTTTTGTTCAGTAATTAAGTGGAACGTTTCCGAATACATATCATCAGGCCCTGGAGTTTTGTCTTTTTTCATTCATCTAATGGCACGAATAATTTCACTTTCCAATATGCTTGGTCCTGATGGCATGGCAAACTCAGTTGCAGGGTTTTCTGGTCTTTCGTCGTTGAAAAAATTAATGGTATAATTTCTCCAAGTTTGCAATAGTTCTTCAGTTTCCGTTATTATTTTATTTTCCTCAGTTTTAATTAGGCTTATTGATTTATTATGGTGTAATCCAGCTATCTCTTTCACTTTCTCGTGAAGATAGAAACTGTCTCCGAGGTAACTGAGATATTCGGCCTTTATACATCTCACCTTCAACCAAGTCT